TTTCTCTAACAGATGCCTAACTTTAGCTATCTAGCAAGAGAAATTAAGGGATAGACGCCTTTTCTGGGTCTATAGCAGAGTCTAGAGTATCTTTTAAAGATGACTTTTCATCGTATTTTCCTCTGTGCAAATGTCTACCATTTTAATATGGAAGGAGCTAGTAGATGAGAGATAATATATGTAGTTGTTCTCATCAGTAGCATAGTAGAAATAAAATTTTATAATTTTTTTAAATATCAGGGAATTCAAAAGAAACTTACTGTTTAGTAGGCTTTTTCAACATGTATTGTTTGAGTCAGTTTTTTCATCACTGTGACCAAAAGACTTGCCGAACAACTTTAGAGAAGGAAAAGTTTATTTAGTGTTTATAGTTACAGAGATCTCGGGCCATAAATGGCTAGCTTCATTGCTCTGGGCCCTGAGGGGGGGAAGAAAGAGAAAGAGGAGGGAGGGAGGAAGGTTGGGGGGGTGGGGGGAGAGAGAGACAGGCGGACACACAGAGAACATGCAGGTGAGTGCAGCCAGGGACAAACCAAAGGTATACAACTAGTTATCTACTCCTTCAGTCACACCCTACCTGTATATAGTTAACACCCAGTTAATTCACTCAAATGGATTAATGTACTGATTAGGTTAAGGCTCTTGTAACCCAATTATTTCACCTCTAAACTTTCTTGCATGGTCTCTTACATGTACTTTCAGGGGATACTGCATTCAAGTGAGAATGAGAGCTGTCTCAAGAGTGAGCGCTAGAAAAACCTGACTTGGGCTTGGGGTCCAATATTCATAGGAGGACTGTATCAGGGACCAGACTGGAGGTGGAATCAAGGATGGAACTGCACAATTTCACACCAGTTTTCCCTGGGCTTATGAATTTTTCTCATTTTACAAGGGCATGTTGCTCAAGATTTACAACTATGCTTTTTACATCTCAGTGGCCTATGGGTATTTCCTTTAAGATTCAGTATTTCTCTTTATCCTGAATCTTTATATCATGATCACCATAATATAGTTTTCTTTGAATTAAATTAGCTATTCAAGAATGTAATTTACTACTTCATTGCGTTTTACATTTTTAAGACATTTTATATCGTTTTGATACTATATATATATATATGTATATATACATAAACAGATTTTGTGTGTGTGTATGTGTGTGTGTGTGTGTGTGTGTGTGTGTATACACACACTTATAATTTTAACCTGATAATGATATGGCATATAGGTGGGACAGGTAGTAGATAATAATTGAAAAAGACTTAGGACCGAGAACTTTCCTAACTTATTATATTATTTTCACTGCTTATATGAAAGTGATGCTTTTTGAGTTTACCAAGTAGTTTCACCAAATATTTTGAGTTTATGAAATATTTTTAAGTCTTTAACTAAAGAATATTAATGGAAGCTTTGTGAAAATTTTATAAATATGGATTCCTCTTTGACTTAAATCACATTTACTTAACTATCATTCAGACAAAGAAGGAAAGATAAAAGTTCTTTGAATTTTCAGATGACGAAAAGCCAGTAATCCCATCTTAGAGAAGAGTACAGATAATTGGTTTGAGTTAGGTTTACGTGAGGAATGGAAGAAAGGAGGTGGAAACAGGTGGCTAATGGAGATGGCAAAATAAATCCTGCTTATTATGTCATGTTATTTAGTAATATTTTGTTTTTCCTGCCTGCCTTCTTTCTTTGAACTATTGAATTAAGAACCTAGACATAGTAATATCATGTACATGTTGAGTGTTTTCTATGCATCAGGCAACTATTTAACAATTTTGTTTTAAGAAAAAGAAATTTACATCTGTATATACTGTGAAGTGAAATGTTTTATACATATTGAAGAGTGCATAAAATATATTTGTGGTATATAAAATAATAAAACCAATACTTATATACCCTCACACTCCCCAGGTTAGGAAGAGATCATTGCTAGTACTTTAGAAGTCCTCATAGGTACCTACTATTCCCCATTCTATTATGTCTCCTGATTGCCCAGTGTAGCCACATTTCTCACTTTTGTGTGAATTTTCTTGCCTTTTTTTCTAATAATGTTATTGTATATGCATGTTTAAACTATTTGTATTTATTTTGAAAAACAGAGTAGTGTTCAAAGAAAAACTAGCAAATTTAACAGCTTATTTGAGCAAGAATAATTTATACATTGTGCAGCACTCAGAACCAGGAGATTCAGAGATCTCTGCACTATAAAAAGGGCAGTGAATGTTAAAAACACAACTTGGAAGTAAAGCACAAAGTAGCTTCATTGGTTACAGCTAGGTTTTTTCCTTATTTGACCATAATCTGATCAGTTCATTCACTTGTGATTGATTGAAGCTTAGCTGCTTTTATCATCTTGTCTGAGATCTGGCTGTTAGAAAAATTAGATTCCTGGTTAGGTTTCCATTCATTTACAAACTAAAGTTGTAATTCATTATGTAGGAGTTCAGAGTATACTTATTTAATTTAACTGTAAAAAGTACAAACCTAGTTGAGTGAGGAAAAGGGAATAATACTGCCTGAAGGTAAGCAGAATGTAATCTCTGAGTTCTAGTGTGGCTTTTTCTTTGAGAGTTTAAGAAAACCGTTGTTGAAATGGTTGAGCAAGATCATTACTAATGAGTTCTGGGAAACACAGGGTTTATCATTAGTTGTGGTGTAGGTATGGCAAGAATATGGTTAGAAGGGGTATTTTCTGCTTTTAAGTTCAGTGTCTTATGAGGAATATGTGAAAAGTAGGACACTTCATTGTATTGGAAGTATTCCCAGCTGATCCAAACACAAGGACAAGGGGAAAGAGAAGAAACTCAGCATACAGTCAGACAAGCCAAGGTCAGAGAAGAACCTGGGCAAAGCTGACCCAAGCAGTTTGTGTGAAAAACATTGTGCAGTGGCAGGGGGTTTTTGGTGATAACAGATTTTTTTTTTATATTGGGTGTCCTATTGCTATATCCCCTGCATTTTTGATTTACTGTCATTTTTTGATAGGCTCTATCTCATCTGGAGTCCTGTGACAGAAGTAAGCCCTATAGGAAATTGTTTAAGTAAATATTTTCGCTTTTCTTCCAACAAGATTGAATATGGTTGAAGACATCACATATCATAGATACATGGGAGATAGTTAATTCATCTTGAACAATGAATGTCTTAGTACATTAGGCTTAATCCTATTTTAGAATCCTATGTGAGAAGAGTGTTCTAGTAAATTTTTAAAAAATATACATGGAAAGTAAAATTTTGATATTGGAGGTATCTGAAATATCTTTATTTTATCATAGGAATGTAATTGATGGCTTCATTGGGTTGGGAATTCTAAGTTAGAAGTTATTCTTCTTCAGATTTTGAAGGCATTGCTTATATTTTTGGACTTCTAAAGTATTATTGTTCACACCAATAATCTGACTTAAGATCCAGAGGAACTTGATGCTATGAATTATGTGCAGAAGGATTATTTGGGTCAAATAGGATTGGTTTTCAATTTTTGTCACCACTAGTTTGTAATTTGGTATTCTGGTAACCACAAGACCATGACTATTTGTTAATCAGGTCTTCAGTGTCTATTTGTGTTGCTGGTGTATTCTTTTTCTGGGTAAATACTTTTGTGCTATATACCCATTATGTTATATTCCTTTCCTATGGCATTAACATTAGGAGAGAACACATTAGTAGAATATCTTCATTTTGCCATTTTAACTTGGAGCATTTCTGAATACACTTTATGTGTATTCTTTGACTTAATCATCATAATACTCCTAAACTATAGGTAATGTTATTAGCATTTTAAATAAGGAAACAGATTGAGAGAAATAAATAAATAGCTATAATGCATCCAGCTAGAATTGAATATTGACAGTTTAATTTCAAATCCCATTCAGCCATTATTCAATAAGGCATTTTATGTTGTTATACACCTTATTCCTTGAAAGGCAAACACCACTGTGTATATTAATTATGATTATTTCTATGATGTAATTTATATTTTATGATATGGAAAAAGCAAAAACAAAACTCAAACCTGTCTCAGTTATGGGTATTAACCATGAATTTAATTTTCACTTTGTTTTTTAAATACTTTGGTCAAGAAAAAAAGTATCATAGCACAAAAAATATTGAATAGTTGTTGTTTATTTACTTTAGTCCATTATAGTAAAGAGAAATAGTCTTAGATTATTTGAGATCATATTAAGTGGAGTATGAGTAGAGAACCAGACTTGAAGTAAATGCACAGTATGGAAGAAAGTGAGATTTTTCTGGTTAAGTCCCTATAAAAATAAATGAGTAAGTTGTAACTGAATACATTGTTTTCCAGCTGAGTGGGTGGATTTCTAGGTTGAAAGTAAGAATTATGATCTGAAAAATAAATTCAAAACATATAAAGAGAACAATTTTCTAAAGCTTTTAAAATTAAAAATAAGGTAGGATAAGGTAAATGGATTTTAATAAAATTAGAAAAGATTTCCTTGGAATTTTTAGAATCAAGTGAAACTTGAAACTTCAGCATATAGTCTTTATCATTAGAGAGTATAGGGTATCGTGGAAATAGGAAAGTATTAGATTTAATGACTTTGGGGGAGGAGGTGTCATTACTAATCAGTGTTTTGTTTTGTTTGTTTGTTTTGCAATAGGTAAGAATAAATGATGCCAGAGTGGACATCAATTAATTTTTTAAAAATGTGTTTATTTTCTAATTAGTTTTAGCTGTGGTAAAGAAAGGTATTTCCATTTGTTACTGTGATGATAAAGGTGTTCTTCTTTTAATTGAGCGTTTTAAATGGAAAAAAAAACCTCTTTGGTAGACTATCTATTTTGAAAAATTTGAATATAATTAATTAAAGAGGAACTGTAGGCAGCCCTGGTCTGTTTCAAGGGAGCAAGTATTGGAGCATACAGCATTATTATGGTGTCATTTTTAATCTTCTGTGTTGATTGGTTTGCATTAACACTGTCTCAGTGATTCATATGTCCCTGCCAGAGGTAAAACTTACATGTTTATTCTCTGCTTTAAGCTGCTGGAATTCATAAAAATTGTTCTTGAAAGAATATCTTTCCTTATGAATTCTTAATCATGGCTGAGGCATACAGTGGATTAGATATAAATCTAGAGGCTTTGGGAAAAATAAAAAGTGTTATGTTGATATCCATTTTTGAAGTAAGCAAAAACTGGAAAGGAAAGAGTCTGAAGAGGAGGGAAGTGTGGCTGGATACTACAAAAACATAATAGAAGGGATAAAAGACTTGTCTTTTTGAGAAAAGAAGAGAAACTGTCTTTATTACTTCATCCTGAATCACTGAGTATTGATCTTGCTTTGTTTTTCTAAAGCAGCAATTTAGTGCAGGGCGTTACTCTTTTGATAAAAAGGTAAAACATTAGTGGAATAACCTACTTAAAAATCGGTTTATTTTTAAAAAAAATCAGCAGCATGGCTTGATGCCTTTCCTGTCGTCTCATTCTCTGTTTATTGCTGATTTGACAGTCTCTAGTCCTTCTCCTTTGCTGTTAAATGTGTGTGTCCTTTGTTTGTGCTGGTGGGTTTTGCTATATTTGAATGTGAGAGAAAAGCCTGTCTTTGCCATATTGATCTAATTAGCCTTCTGGTTGAGCACGTATACATTAAGTAGACCTTCTAAACCATGAAAGAAGAGAACTCACAACAACGTAGATTTTCTTCATGTACTGGGGTTTCACCCGTTTTATTTCCTCCTCGAATTGATGGCCGAAAGCTTGTCCGGAATGCTTCATTTGGAGGATACAATGAACTTTCTCCTTCGTTGCCAGGTTTGTTTGTTTAATCTTGCATTCTTGTCTTAATTTCTTGCAGACTTTTCATTGAAATGAACCAGGCATTTTAACATCTTAAAGCTGTTTGATTTAAACAAAACAATTCTATAGCACAAGATCAGGTTTCAGTAATTGCTTCTATATGGCTTTGCTTTTCCATATTTTCTCCTATAGTCAGTCTCTTCAGTTAAAACTTGAGAACTGATGATTCAGTAAAGTAGGCATCTTGAGTGTTTATAGCATATTTTTTTTGCTTTAATTACAGAAGCAAATATTATGACCCTTTGATAAGATAAAAACCTTTTTGAATTTGAGATAAATGCAAAATTCTATAAATAAACAAATTGCACTGACGTATGTTAAATGATATTTAACATTGACGTTTGACCATTCTTTTTTTGCAGTATAGTAACTATAATTGATGTTTAGGATAAGCTTTAATCTTACTTCTTTATTACTTTAATCTTTTATTTCAATTCCTTGATTAAAAGGAAATTTTACCCAAGTACAATTTTCAAAATATATTATTCTTGTTGTTAGACGTTTTTGTGTCTTACTAGTTTTTAAAGAAAATATTCCTATTTTTAGGGTAATATTAATTTTGGGTAATATTTATGAGGTATATGACGGCTATGTTTAGACATTAAATAATTGATCAGTGAAACGTAGACATAAATCTTTTATTTGAAAAAGATTTATTGTAAATAGTATTTCCTTTTAATTTTAAATGTAAATAATCTTATGTTTTTATTTCAGATTTTTAAACTGCTACATAACTATATCTACTCTTTTAAGATATTTTTCTTTTAAAATGAAAATATTTTTAATATTCATAGAAATATTGGCTAAAACCATGCCTTCTTAACCATTTTATGTCTTTATTCTGATACACATTTTTAAATTTGAATTAAATTTCATGTTTTCACATTAGTCTTTATTCTTGGCCTTTTGTGAATATTCATGCCCATAGGTAGTGTATACATTCTTGAGATAGTGAAACATCTAATACAGTGTTCACCTGGCAATTAAATAAATTATTGTAAATTCATTGATTTCATTTTCTTTTCTAACAGTGTTTTCCAAAAGAATTAGAAACCATAGTACTGAATTGTAGTAAGTAGCATAATCTTTAAGCAGCATTCATAATCCCTATTGAATCTTCTTAGCATAACATGGTTACTATCATACTTCATTCTTATGTTCTCAAATGGAGTAAAATTTAGAATTTGCCTTTATTTAGAAATGGACTTAAAAACTTAAGGTATTGAAATTCTTAAATTTGTTAAATACTGCCTTTTTTACACTTTTGTCCCTGTCTTTTTGATTGTATTTTTTAAGCCAACAAGCTTGCTAGAACTCCTTGTTTGCTGACCTTCATGCTACACATCTACTTAAGTATTGAGAAATAATCATATGACATTGATAGACAACATAAAACTTTACTTTTTCAAAGTTTGATGTTTATTTAATTAGATAATTAAGAATTATCAGTTTTTCTTGTCAAAGAATATATTTAAGATCAATTTAATGGGTTTACTTTGTTTTAATAGAAGGCAAAATGTTTTTTCCTAATTCTTTGTACATTTTTTGTTAAAAAAATTTTTTTTGTACTTGTAGGTGGAACAATACCTTCGTTTTATTTATTTATCTTTATGTGGTGTTGAGGATGGAATCCAGAGCCTCACATGTGCTAGGCAAGCGCTCTATCACTGAGTTATATAGACCCCAACCCCCTAGTTCTTAAAATAGAGAAAATAAGATTGATAGGAATGATTCCATATTATCTATAAAATAACTGTGATTGAAAGCTCTTTAACATAGCTCTTTACTTTATCAGGTAAGCAGATTGAAATTAAGTACTTCAGAAAAGTGATTTTTTGTTATGCATTTAGTTAGTTAAAAGTAAAAGAAAGATTCTTCTCAGATTTCATTGTTGTTGAAAGTTTTTAGATGCCTTTCTTTTTATCTGAGGTCACTAGAGAAAGAACAGAGGGTGATTCTACATTAGTGAAATTTAAAGATAAATTTGTCTTATCAAATTGAGCACAGCACTTTTTGCTTTTTTGTATTTTAGTTTTCATAGGAAAGTTTCTTTCTTTCCATCTCTTACTTCTTCCTCAAGAAATATATTGGTTTAGCCTTCATTAATCTCAGCTGTTATTTCTAGATATGCTCATTGTGCCAGTCTCTAGAATAGTACCTAAGAATTAGAATAAATAAACTTTGAGCAAAGAAATCAACTATAAACAAATGCAGATTTTTTTTTTACTATAAATTCTTTTTTTTAGTATAGCTTGACTTCTTAGAGACATTTTTTGTACAATTTTCTTGTTTCTGTGTTCAGTATAGTTAATATTAATGTAGCAATTCTGCATTTATTTTGTGGATATCCATTCTGCATTTGTAGATATCTAATATAAAATCTCATTTTAACAAGACTGATAAAATTTGCTTTATTGTATCTTAATATTAGTGAACCAGATTTAATTGAGATATTTAAAAAGGTGGCCTCTTGTCACTGATCGTAGTACTTGTATTATGTGACTAAATTAAAAGAGCAGAATTCTAATTTATTTAGGAATAATATTACATTGTATTAGCAAGGGAAAGTAAGCCTTGTGTATTAGAATTTTTTTTCTTATAGTGCATACAACAAGACTCTTTCTTTATTTAAAAATATAAAAAATAACTGTCATTATTTTTTGGTACTGGAAATGGCACCCAGGGCCTTGTACATGCTGAGCAAATTGTATCTAGTGCTGATTTATACCCCTAGTCCTTATTTTACTTTCTTTTGAGACTCAGCCTCATGAGTAGTTGGGATTACAGGCGTGCACCAATGTACTAGCTCAAATTTCAGTCTTAAAAACTCTTAGAAAACTAGAAGGAATGAACTTTTTTACAATTTCTGTATAAATATGTATACCTAAGTCATGTATATATCAATATTCATATGGAAAATATACAGAAAACAAGATTAAATATAATGATGAAATGCTGATCAGTTTCCTTTTTGATTAGGAACAAGACAAGAATGTTAATGATCACCATATCTTGTGTATTAGAATTTTTTTTCTTATAGTGCATACAACAAGACTCTTTCTTTATTTAAAAATATAAAAAATAACTATCATATATTTTTTTTTAAATTCCATGTAATCAGTAACAAACAGACATCCAGGTGTTTTTTTTTTTTTTTTAAGTATGATAGATCTGAGAGTTCTTCTCAGTTGTAAAATTAAAATAGCCAGTTAATATTTTAGAAAGTGTTCAACACCATTAATAATCAGGAACATGACTTTGGGTTTTGAGAGGCATCATGACATTGTGGAAACATCGTGAATTTTAAAGTTAGACCTAAGTTGAACCAACTCTGCTACTGTCACTTGTTGACAGTAGTCAGCTTGCTTAATTTCTGTGAGCTTTAGGTTTTTAACTTTTTTTTTCCAGCTATATAATATGGTTAATTTTTTTTCATGTGATGTTATGGTATAGATTAGAAGAAAGAGGCTGGAATATAGTTTAGTGGTAGATTGCTTGCCTGGCATACATGAGGCTCTGAGTTCAATCCCGAACACTATGAAAGAGATTGCAGGGAATATAAGAAAAAAGTGTAAGTAAGGCATCTAGCATAGTATTTTATAAGAGTTCCCACAAGTGGATATTGGCTACATATATTTTTTTTTAAATTCCATGTAATCAGTAACAAACAGACATCCAGGTGTTTTTTTTTTTTTTTTAAGTATGATAGATCTGAGAGTTCTTCTCAGTTGTAAAATTAAAATAGCCAGTTAATATTTTAGAAAGTGTTCAACACCATTAATAATCAGGAACATGGAAATTGATTGTCGATAAATTACACATCCATCATATTGGCAAAAAAATATTAAAAATTTGTAGCATACTGATGTTATCATGAATGTGTAGAAAGGAGAACTTTTATACATTTAAATAATTTGAAATCACTAAAATTGAAGATATACCAGTATATAATTCAGAAATTCTGCTTCTAGGTTTAAATCTTAAAAAGAAACTCATGAATATGTGTACTTGTTATATTTCCAAGAATATTCAGCCCTGTTGTTCATAAAAGGGAAAAACTAGCAACAACCCTAGCATCTATTAATGGCTGAATGGATAAATAGCAGGATAGCTATGTAGTACAATTTGCAATTAGCAGTGAAAATTAATTAAATACCTGCTGTGACATGCTAGCAAATAACTGCGAAAGCCATGATACTTTTGAGGAGAATGGACTGTGATCAAGAATTGATCTGGGGAAGATCTTATGGGATGTTAGCAGTTCTGTATTTTTTTGATTTGGGTGGTGGTTATAAAAGTATTCCTTCTATTTTTTTAATTATACATTTTTGTCTTATTCATTTTTCTAAAGGTGTGCTATATTTTCAATTAAAAAAACTTTTAGAAGAAAACTGGAGTTCATTTTTATTAATTTTTTTATCAGTTGGTAAAATTTTTGAGTTTGAAAAGATAAATAATATTGAGACTCTCTTTTTTTTTTTTTTAAATTGGCATACAGCATATAATGCAGTAAATACTGGAGTACAAATATGTGGGAAGTGTGGTGTATCTCAGAGAAGAGAAAGCTGCCTGTGTATACGTAATAAGCAGGACCTTCCAGAAGTGACTTTGGGTTTTGAGAGGCATCATGACATTGTGGAAACATCGTGAATTTTAAAGTTAGACCTAAGTTGAACCAACTCTGCTACTGTCACTTGTTGACAGTAGTAGTCAGCTTGCTTAATTTCTGTGAGCTTTAGGTTTTTAACTTTTTTTTTCCAGCTATATAATATGGTTAATTTTTTTTCATGTGATGTTATGGTATAGATTAGAAGAAAGAGGCTGGAATATAGTTTAGTGGTAGATTGCTTGCCTGGCATACATGAGGCTCTGAGTTCAATCCCGAACACTATGAAAGAGATTGCAGGGAATATAAGAAAAAAGTGTAAGTAAGGCATCTAGCATAGTATTTTATAAGAGTTCCCACAAGTGGATATTGGCTACTTTATTGTTTTCATTAATATTATAGTGTTAATTACCAGTAAACTTGTCCTTATTATTAATAAACTAATCAGAAATTAGCCAGGTGTAGAATAAGTTAAAGAGATCTAAACTAAGTGGGAATGGATGTCAAAGCAGGGAAAGTGTAATTAACTAGAAGATTAGGGAAGGTATATATTTCATGTTTATTTTTTTATTTCCACATAAAATATGGTTAAGTGTGTGCTTTTAAAATTTTCAGTCGTGCATAGAGATGTATAATTACTTAGAGATTCTCGGAAAGTTCCCTCATGTCCCTTCCAGTCAGTATCTCCTGCAACAAAGGTGGATCTCTTTCTCTATGCCACAGATTAGGCTTGTAAATGGAATCATATGGTACTTTTTTTTTTTTGATGGTGATAAGTGGCTTCTTTCACTCAATGTTATGTCTGTTGTTTTTTGTTTTTCTTTTTCATTACTGTGTAGTATCTTATTGTATGAACATACTGTAATGTATTCATTTATTCTACTATTAATAACCATTTGAATCAGTTCCAGATTTTGAATAGTATAAAAAAAGCAGCTGTTAACCTTGTACTTCTCTCTTGATGGATATACATGCTAATTTCTGTTGGCTGTATCTAGGATTTGAATTTCTATGTGTTAAAATATATGAACACTCAGCTTTAGTGAAGGGAAAGTGAGGAAGGAGAAACAGGTAAACAAGATGGAGACCAGGCAGAGATACACTAGAGAATTTATTTGTCAGAGCTGACAAATAAAGGCCATCTCTCTATAGTGGAGAGAGGGGCAAAACAGGCTTGAGTTCCAGGACTTTTACAGGGCAGGCTCAAGAATCAGATCCTGGCGGGTCCTAAGCCGGTGGTTAGGGGTTGGGTTGGTATAAGGGAGTGGAGCCTTTCTCAGAAACACCCTTGGGCAGGAAAGCAAAACTTTTTCCTCAAAATGGTGGTTTTCACTTAGGATGGCTGTCCAGATGCTAAGCAAGGATCTTACATTTAGTAGATACTGTCAGGTAGTTTTCCAGAGTGATTTATGCCACTTTCTACTCCTGCCATTTATGAGTAGGATTCCAGTTACTCCACATTCTCATCCATACTAGAATGGCTTTAGTTCTTTTAATTTTAATTTTGATAGGAATGTTGTTTCTGTCTCATTTGTGGGAAGGGAGAGAATACTTAGAAAAGAATTTGCCACCCCAAATCATTAAAAGTAAATTTGGTAAAACTTGTAATCCTAAACTGTTCTTCATTATTGATACTGTTCAATAATACATACTTCAGGATTTTGTCCACAAATGTAACTACTCTAAAGGAGTAAAGTAATACCTTAAAATATATTTTAAACTAATTCTGAATTCTCACACATTGTAGAAAATAAATAAAAGCTCAAGATATATTTTGACAGAGCTCCTTTGGCTTCTTATAAATGTATTTTCATGACTGACTTAAGGTAAAGATATTTTACAGACTTATAGGAAACCAGCTTTATTCAGCCTAATGGAAGAGTCCCAAGTATGATATTTTTCTCTTTGCTTCTTGGAATTTCCCTTGGGAACTGTTATGATTTGAATAGGCAGTATTCTCCTGAAAGCTCCTATGCTAATAGGGGAAGAATTGAAAGGAATTTGTTAGAATGTGAAGGCTGTAACCTAATCTGTCCATCCTAGTTTGAATAGACTAATTGGGTTGTAACTCTAGGTTGATGGGGAGTGACTGGAGGAGGTGAGTCATTGGGGTGTGGCATGGGGTGGGCCTGGAAGAGGTTATTTCTTACTGCCCCTTTTTTCTGTCTCTCTAATTCCTATGAATGGCGCACCACTCTCCCACCACACCTTTTTGCCAAGATGTTTGCCTCACCTTGGGTCCAGAGCTATGGAATCAGCCCACCGTGGACTGAACCTCTGAACCATGAGCCAAAATAAATTTTTCCTCCCCTAAGTTGTCACAGCAACACAAATTTGACTAAAATAAATTTAACATACAGCTTTGCAGTATTTTCATTTTAACACTTTCATTTTTATATGTTCTTTGCATTTTACACTGATGAACTACGTTTTTTACCTTTAGTTGAAACTCAAGGCACTTGACCAAACTTGGATATTTTAGGAAGCATTTTGCTTTACTCTTCTATAATTAAAGTAACTTGGAAGTCATCAGAACCTGATTATAAGATAATCGTGATTTGTAAGTCTAAGGTATATAGACTTTTAGAATGAGATTAATTTGTTGAGTTTGACAGATAATATATAATCTAGGTTTATGGATGTCCTTTTCTAACACTTGAAACTTTCTGTAGACATATTTGTACTTTTAAAAAGTTTATTCTGACTTCCAACTTTGTTTTCATTTGCTGTCCTATTTATTAAAAATTTGTGAGCTGGACATAGCGGTGCATACCTATAATTCCAGAGATTTGGGAGGCTAGGGCAGGGTCTAGGTTAGCCCCAGCAATTTTGCAAGATCCTGTGTCCCCCCACACCTCACAAAAAAAAAAAAAAAGAAAAAGAAAAGGAAGGAAGGACTGGAAATGTAGCTCAGTGGTAAAGCACCCCTGGGTTCAATTCCTATTATCAAAAAGTAAATAAGTAAATAAAATAAATAAATTATAGAAATAATATGTGAATATAGATAAATGAACTAGGCATTTTTCTTAATCTAATAAATGGATTGATCTAGATTCAGGTAAAACTAAAATAACACTAGAGTAATTAAGTATGTTTCTGTGAGATTTTTTTCATTTCCAATATATATTTAAAGAAAACATGAGTTCTCTTGCACATATGTTTAGATCTTGGAAGTAACTTAGGTTAGTCATTAGTATTAAAAATTACTTTGGAGCTAAAGAGAAATTAAGGAACATTGTGGTCTGGAAGTATTTCCCCCACCTACATATATGCCAAGTTGTGTACTCATTCCAGGGAATAAATATCATTAAACTCTAAAAAAGATTACTTATAACTGTTTTTTTCTTTGAATAAATACTTCAAAAAATTTTAATTGAATTGTGTAACTCTTTGGTTTACCTTATACTGAATTTTCAAATTTCTTTTGAGTTTTCATTTAAAATTTCATGTAATATTTATGGAAGTTTTTTCCCCTAGTATTAGGATTGAGTGATCCTTCTTTCCAGAGGAGGAGGGAAAAGGCTCTTTTTCATACTATAGAAATAACTTAATAAAACATCTGAATTAAAAAATAATGGATGGTCTTAGCTATTATGAATCAAATAGAAACAATAAGTGGTATTATTGATACACTAGAAATAATTTTCAAATGCTTCAAGTACTGGTACTATAATTATACATTTATTTTTTAATAAAGGCTTCTTTGGAACTAGAAAAAATAATTATAGGGAGGGATTAATATTACCTGTCCTCAAAAATAGAATGATTCTCATTAAAATGTGTACTTTTTTTTATGCTTGTCATATATAATTTTCAATAGTATCATTTCTTATTTGAGCCCTCCTGAGCTGGAATGTTCATCCTGCCTCGACTCTCAAGAAACTGGGAGTGCATGCTATTGTATTCAGCTTCGATTTTTAAAAAAGTATATGTATCTCTCACTCCAGATTTATACTCCAATCTTCTTTTATCACCTATTTGTAATATTTTTATCGTTTGACAAGAGATGAAAAGTATGTTGGGTTTATTCTTTCAGTTTAGGATTCTTTGTTGGAAATGGGCACACTACAAAAAAGGCTCTATGAGGGCTGATTTCATATATAGTGCTCTAGGAGTACAGAAAAGAGCTATTTAGTTTAATGTTGGAGGGTTTTAGGAAATATTTTATCGTCTCTCTGAACCTGAATTAATTTTTATGTACAGTCTAGGCCTCCTGTACTGATGTTATAAAAGATAACGTATACTTGAAATTGAATGACATATATGTATATTTAATTTTTAATATTAATGACTATATATGTTCAAAAGTAGTAATACAGAGATATTGACCTTTTTTTTTCCCAAAGGTTTTGAAAGAGGGAAAGAAGATAATTCTCAAAATAAAGATGACTCTTCACTTTCTATATCAAAGAGCAAGGTAAGTATCTTGTTATCCCCAAATATATAATTATGACATTTTTATAATATTTAAGATGAGGGGATTTCAACTAAAATCCTGTCAAACTTTTATAAAATATTTTTATTTTGGTATGTCTAAGCCATATAGTATGTATGAAAAAAATATTCTACTGGGTCTGATTTAAGCACTCTTGGTTAATGAAAAATAGAGCTGATTGGTAACCATTGTTTTCTCCAGAGTAATATTTTTTCTGGTATGTGTAATACAACAGTACTTCTCAAACTGGAGACTCGGGGTTCCATTCAGAGATAGTCTCAAGGATATTGTCTTTTTTAAAAAAATTCTTTAGTGTTCAGAGTTTATTTACATGAAAAGAACACACATACACATACACACACACACACACACACACACACACACACACGTACCTTACTGTTTCCCCTGGTTAATGGCCAATAATCTTAACATTAATACCTTACAATAAAAATATACTTTCTTAAAATATGGCATAGTTTTCTAAATAAATATTTCTCAAACTAAGATATTTATACATATTCTTAGGTCTATTAGGAGTTTTTTCTTGAAGAGTACATACTCAAATTTGAGAAACACTATAAGGACGCCATGGTTTCCCTGTGTGTTTGCTGTTCATTGAATTTTCTAAAATTTGTCAAGAAATTTGACTTTTGATTGCCCTTTCTGATCAAATTTAGTATTAGCAGGAACAGCTTTCATGTTGTGGAATTAACTCTTAGTGACTGTAAGAAACTATTTCATAAGGCAGTGAATTCTCTGCTATTCTCAGCAGCAGGTTTTGCACTTACTGCCTTATATTTTCAGTCCTTATTTTGGGGAGTGATTGAGAGGATTGCACAATATCTTTTTATGTATGATTTTACATGAATGCTATTCACACTTTTCAAGTATTCATTACATAAAGTCCATCTATCAATGTGTGTAAAGTATTTAAGATGGAAGTTCTAACTCTACATTGTGTTTATATAATATTCATGAGAAATGCCATGATAAGATACGGAAGATTTCTTTTCCTACCTATTGCTAGGTTCTTGGCTGAGACCCCTTTAACAAAAGACAGATGAACAAGAGAAAAGAAACTTTATTTAATCTCAGTTCTATTTAATACCAGAACCTTCAGAAATGAAGACCCATAGAAACGGGGAAATCTGTGTGTTTCTGCTTTGTTTTGATGAAAAGTATATGGTCATATTATAATTGGACAAAGAGGGTTATGATCTAGTGGCAGCAAACTGGGGAAACTCAGCAAGGCTGTTTATTCATATTCTTCTTGGGGTCTCTACATCTTTGGATCCTTTCTTCTGATCGTAGGGAAAGCATCTGTCTCAGAGGAGTATTAGAGAAAGTTTTTGTGGCCTACTTCAGGGGAAAAAGGAAAGAGAAGATCAGAGAGTAATTTTCTGCCTTCTACAGTTTTCTGTTTCCTTCATGCTAAATACACAATATGCCAAGATGCCATTTTTTGGAGTAGTGTCATCTGAGTCCTTTCAGTCATTTTACATGATCTGGGTAATTAAAGAAAATAAAAGAAGAAATCATGTGTTTTGACTGCCACAACTAGAAATACAGTGGAATTTATAGTATTTTTAAAAACTTTATTTTCAAGCAATTAATTCCTAAATTGGTGAATGTATAGTATAATGATATTCCTACTCAGAAACTTAAAACACTTAAACGCAAAAACCTACATACTATAGCCACCTATTTGTCATTCATATGTAGGTTTTGAAGGGTAGGGTAGGGTTGGGACCCAAATAGGAATATTTTATATCTTAATGAAAGCAATGTGTATTGATAAGAACAAAACAAACAGTAACAAATGAAAATTCACTACAGGAATACAGCAACAGATTTGAGCAGGCACAAGACAGAATAAACAATTGAAATTATCACATCTGAGGAGGATAATTCTCTCAGAGAATTATGCTTTGTGTAAAAGATAGCTTAGTCATATGTGGATCTTTAAATTTGATTACAATAAAATAAATTTCAAAATTCAGTTTCTCAGTTAATCTGGTCATATTTCTCATGCTCAATAACCACATATAGAACATCTATAATTTAGGAATTTCTACTAGATAGTGCTGCTTTCACATCAAGAGAGTGTTTCAGTCTTTAATCCATTATCTATGAGTTTTTAGGTGCTCATTACAATGATATTAATAGTTACTTTTTGTTAAGTTTATTGCAATACCATTTTAACTCATAACAATCCTAGTAGACAGGTTTCATTTGGCCCAATTTTATAAGTGAGCTCAGAGAAATTAAGTACCTCTCCAAAGGTCAGAGTAACTTCTAAGTGGTAAAACTAGAATCCAGAGTGGCTTCATGAAAAGGAGATAGATCTACCTTTCAGATTGTTATGTGGAAAGTTCCTGGCAAAGTACCTGATTAATAATTGGTGTTTAAGAATTCATTTTCTTATTCTGAATAAAGGATTACAGTGAATCAGTGAGATTCTTAGCATGGTAACTATTTGGTATAAGTAAAATTATACTCATCGTGTCACTTTTCAAGAGCTGAAACTTACTAATTCTCTTCTAACTTAGATTTAATCTTAGTTTATCCTGGAGATCTATATTAGCTAGTTTGTTCCTAAATATTTTAACATGTAACTCACTCTATTGTTTTTCGCAACAACTGTAAAATTTATACATTCATAACTGGGCCTTATTTCATGGCATTCTTAAGATTCTTATTTGTACTTAAGTAATTTGGTGTAGCAAAATTTCACAGTTTTTCCTATGATCTATATAACTGATATCAACAAACAATTTTAACTTTATGCTTTTACGAACCTTATGCAAAAAGTATGTCAAAAGTTTGTCAAAAGTCGTGGGTTTTAATGTTATTTCTTAAAATGCATAATTAGAACATTAAGCACAATGAAATATACGTTCCTCATCCCCAAAACATTTTTAAAATAAAGGCAATTCCTTTTTCTCATGTGTCTTTGCCTAGGTCTTTTCATCATATGAATTAGTGAATTTAAAAAGTTCAGTTAATCAGATTATCCCAAAGTATCATTTTAAAATAAATTTTTAATTGTCTATCTCAATGAAAGTTAAGAGCCTGCATAATTAAAGTGTCTAGTGAGATAAAAGGAATCCTGTTACAAGGATGAGGAGTTTCTGAGCCTAGATCTTTTTAACTTGAGTCTCCAAACATCTATCTACTTGCCTGGAGGTGTTATAAGTTATCTATTACTTACTTTAAAAAAATATCTTAACTTGAATATTAAAAAAAATCATTCCAGTCTAAAATATCTTTGTAATAACAGTAATTAATCATTGTTGTTCTTTATAAAGGTTATGATGAAAAAGAAGCTTAGTTTAGTAAAATAGTTTCAAAAAAGATGGTTTTGGGTTGACTGATTGTATTTCTTCTGTGATACAGTCAACCGATAAACATGAAAAAAATGTTCATCTCTAGCGATTAGAGAAATGCAAATCAAAGCTACTCTTAAGATTTCATCTCACTCCAATCAGAATGGCAATTATCAAGAATACAAGTGTTGGTGAGGATGTGGGAGAAAGGTACACTCATACTTTGCTGGTAAGACTGCAAATTTGTGCAACCACTATGGAAAGCAGTATATAGATGCCTCAGAAAACTTGAAATGGAACCACCAGTTTACCTAGTTATCCCACTCCTCAATCCATACCCAAAGGACTTAAAATCAGTGTATTATAGTGACTCAGCCACATCAGTGTTCATAGCAGCTCAATTCACAATAGCTAAACTGTGGAACCAACCTAGATGCCCTTCAATAGATGAATGGATAAAGAAACTGGTGTATATATTTATACAATGGAATATTACTCAACTTTAAAGAAAAATGAAATTATGGCATTTGCAGGTAAATGGATGGATTTGGAGAATATCATGCTAAGCAAAATAAGCCATTTTCCCAAAACCAAAGGCCAAATGTTCTCTCTTGTAAGTGGATGCTGATCTATTATGGTACAGGGTGTGTAGGAAGAATGGAGGAAATTTGATTGGGCAAAGGTGGGGGGAGAAGGGGGGAAATGGGGACAGGAAAGATGGTTGAATGAGATGACATCATTACCCTAGGTACATGTATGACTGCACATATGGTGTGACTCTTCATCATATACAACCAGAAAAATGAAAAGTTGTACTCCATTTGTGTACAATGAATCGAAATACATTCTGCTGTCATATGTAACTAATTAGAACAAATTTTAAAAAGTTAAAGAAAGTTTTGGTGAGGATGTGGGAAGATATACTCATACACTGCTGGTAGGACTGGAAATTGGTGCAACCACTAAGGAAAGCAGTATGGAGATTCTTCAGAAAACCTGGAATAGAACCACCATTTGACCCAGCTATTCTACTCCTTGGTTTATAATCAGCATACTGCAGTGACACAGTGCTTATAGCAGCTCAATTCACAATAGCTAAACTATAGACTTAACCTAGATGCCCTTCCACAAATGAATGGATAAAGAAAATATGGTACATTATACACAATGGAATATTACTCAGCCTTAAAGAAGAATGAAATTGTGGCATTTGCAGGTAAATGGATGGAGTTGGAGAAGATTATGCTGAGCGAAATAAGCCAAACCCAAAAAACCAAAGGCCGAATGTTTTCTTGATAAGTAGATACTAATCTACTGGGGCGGAGCCGGTGAAGGAACTTTGGATTGTGCAGAAGGGAGTGAGGGGAGGGGAGCGGATATGGGGATGGAAAGGACTATGGAATGAGACAGATATTATTACCCTGTATACATGTATGATTACATTACCTGTGTGACTTTACACTATGTTCAGCTAGAGGAAGGAGAAATTGTGCTCCATTTCTGTACAGTGTGTCAAAATGCATTCTAGTGTCATGTGCAAATAATTAGGACAAATTAAAAAATTAAAAAGATTTTTTTAAGATTTTGGTTTTTTAAAGGTGTGTTGATTCAGAAAATGAGGTAATGATGTATGAGTGATAGAACTTGGTTACTGGGTCATTGTTTTGTCAGAAGTGGACTGTACATATGGCATGACTCCTGGAGGTCTATGTACTCTGATTTACCTTGCTCCTGTGATATCCTTCTGGCCTGCTTGTTCCTGTTATAGTAGAATCTTTTAGAAATAATCAAGTCAGATCTTGTCATTTGCAGTTGTTGGGAAAACATTTCCTCTTATTCATAAGGATAAATCTTATATTTAAGTCTGGTTGAGATATTGTATGAATAGTTTTAAAATGTGAGAAATCAATATAGTGTTATTACAAGAGCATGAGACTAGGAGTTAGTCCAAGGTAAACATTCGTGTTTGTCTATTGGTGGCTGGATGACTCTGGGAAGATAATTCAATCGTTGGTCTTCATTTACTTATTAGTAAAGGGGGGGATATTACTACTATCTCATGGAGTTGCTTTTGAATATTAAAACAGTGCATAGAAAAGTGTTTAAAATAGTATTTGGAAATAGTAAACAACTATTAACTTTTAAGGTAATCTTCATTTACTATTACTTAAGAACTACCTTACAGTACACATAATTTTCCTGTTAAGTTGTGGGAAATTAAATTTCATGAACATTTTAAACCATCATATTCCTCTGACAGCAGCCATACCATCTTTGGGTTCCCAAGATCAATAAGAAGACAGAGACCTGCTTAACTGAAGGAATTTGTACAATTCTTTCATATCACAATGCATGCCATCCTTATCATGGTAATAAGCAATGTGATGTTTCAAGCCCAGTTTTTAAATCAATAATTTTAACAAAAGTTCAGCCAGGTTGGTCCCCCACTTTTATGTTAGAATTAGTTGTAGTTCCCTTTTGATGCATCAGTTACTCCTACCATAATCATAACCAATATTATATTTCACATTTTTATTTAATTTTTATTTTTAGTGTCACATTTGTTTTCATTTTATTAGTTGATTAAAATTTATTTCTTCAGATGACTGGATGTAATTAATCAGTAAACATGGTATCTGTCTTCATGGGTCTTAAAATTGAGAGTTTGCACCCAACAGTTTTCATCCTTGATTTTATCTAGTGATATGATGCAGATTTGACCATTCAACATTTGAAAACCAAGTAGCTGGCATTTTTAGCAGATGAGAGAAATACCTAGATTAGATCATTCTAATTTATATAGTGTTTAAACACCAGTATTCTTAGACTCTGTTTCTTCCTACCTATACAGTGAACCTAGATTGTTTGAATGTCTTAAATTTACTTCCACATTTTTAGTTTATATTTCACATTTTTAAAGTGTCACATTTGTTTTCATTTTATTGATTAAAATTTATTTCTTCAGGTGACTGGATGTCATTAATGAGTAAACATGATGTCTGCCTTCATTGGTCTTAAAATTGAGAGTTTGCATCCAACAGTTTTCATCCTTGATTTTTTCTAGTGATATGATGCAGATTTGACCCGTTGACATTTCAAAACCATATTTGGATTAAGTCCCTTGTAATGTCCTTGCTCTATGAATATTGCTAAGAACATCAAGTACTTTCTCCTATGTTGAACAATAGATAAAAATAACAATTAGAGGACATGAAAGGAGTATGTTTAATTTTGTTGTCCCATGATTAATAGACATAGCTTGTGGGTTTATGCTTTCCTACTGTGGTGAAAGATTAGTGGTACTGGATTAGGAGACCCAAGTTCTGATCACTGCTATGTTAATGATAAGTTTGGAAAAACAATCTCCCTGAACCTCCCTTTCATAACTTATAAAACAGAGATAAAACTGCCTCTTATTCTCATTTTTCAAGGTTATTATGAAGATTAAATAAGAATGTGAAATATCAACTAAAAGTCTGGAAGCAAATTTAAGACACTAGGTCCTTGGATAGGTAGGAAGAAGTAGACCCTAGGAATATTGGTGTGTAAACACTGTCTGAATTACGGTAGTCTAATACTAATTTCTGAAGACTATTTCTTCTCATTGGAGGAAGACTAGTTATAGGGTAGTATATGCAGCATCATGATAAAATATTCATGGTATATTTTTATTTAGAATACTTTAATTGTTTAAAAAAACATTGTTTGGCTTACTTTATCCTAATAATAATTACACAATTGTGTGTATTCTTAGAAATACTCTGAATAATAGAATGGAAAAATTTGGAAATGCTCTTTACTTAGCTTCACATTGCAGGTTAATTTTTTACAAGTTTTTACTTTTGAATATTTGTAGGTTTAACATTTAAAAAATATATATATTTAGTTGTAGATGGACACAATATCTTTATTTTATTTATTTATTTTTATGTGGTGCTGAGGATCGAACCCAGTGCTGCTTTATACATGCTAGGCAAGCACTCTACCACTGAGCTCCACCTGCAGCTCCTGACATGTTTAAAAAAAAAACAAAACACAAATACTATATAGGAAAAACCAGTATTTGAAAATCTACTTTTATTTATGATAGCAGTAAATGGGAAGAATGTGAGAAGCATAACTTTAAGTTCTATATGACATGTGTAGATTAAATGAAGGTTTTAATTATTTCTCTTCTTTTCAATTCTGTGTGATTTTAGTCTGAATCTAAACTTTATAATGGCTCAGAAAAGGACAGTTCAACTTCAAGCAAGCTCACAAAAAAAGAATCTCTTAAGGTTAGTTTCCATAATTATTTCTGGAAAATAACTTATATTATGCTTAGTATGTGCTTTTGAAAGCAAGCTATTAAGAAATATTCATGTGCATTCCTAAAAGAGGATTTAAAATACCTCAAGGGACAGTTGAACAGGCACACAAAGAAAATGTTGTTATTTGTATGGTCAAGGAAGTCAGATGATGAGACTGCTTGATAATTGTCCAGAGCAGCCTGCTTTAAGGACCTGGTATCTCTTCACGGGTGAGTGGGCATATCACCGTGTTCTGAAACACCTGTTAGGAATCACTGGTACCCATGAAATTACATTTTGCTAACTGCCTAGTCGTTTGCTAAATTTGACCCATGAGTGGATGGATATATTTTGTTTGACCTGAATCACATTTTAAAATTTTGAGCCAGCAATTTAAAGTCCAGATTTCCTATTTCTCTTAAGAAATATGTAATGTTAGACCTGTCTTACTCAATGGTCTTAGAAGCTGAAGTTTAAGGAATACATGATTTTAATTGTCTCCTGTCCTTAGTTAGTATGTTTTACCTATTGTATTCCATACCTAGCTAGTCCTGTATACATTTGCATTTGCAATCTCATATTAAATCTGTTAGTTTAGATACACATATTTAAAAAGACCAAAAGTCTAATGCTTTGGGGGTATAAAATTATTAAAATTTTATTCTGCATGTGTAGTCTCTTTCCATTAAATGGAACTTTTCTGGTAGAAGATTTTATATTGTAATTTTTGAAAAATGTAGTCACCAATAGGTTGTCATTACTCTTCCTATATCCAAATGTAAAGAAAGCAATAATACTTTATTAATTTACTGCTGCTTTCCCACATTATCTCGTAAGTAACTTAATTATGAAGGTAAAACTTTGATCTTCTGAGTGCGTTAATTTCATCTATGGTTTTTTAATTGTTTATATCTTACATTTTAATATTAGGAAAGAAAACAAGGCTTCATTTGCAAATAATTGCAGCATTGTTTCTAATAAACAAAAACTAGTAGCAAAGTAGATTGCTATCCTTAAGAGAATTCATTAAAAAACAAATGGTACAATATAACCTAAAAGTACATAGCATAGCTTTGAGAGGCAGTCTGCCTCTGTTTGAATCCTGACTCTACAATTTCCTATGTTCCTGGACAAGGTACTCTCTCTGCCTCAGTGTTTTCATTTGTGCAATAAGGTTAATAATAGTTCTACTTCAAAAAGTTATTGTGATGTTTAAATGAGGTAATTGGAATACAGGTGAAGAAGCCCTTGATTGGTTCATAGATTGTCATCAATGTTAGCTCTCTCATTATTTTTTCCTACTAGGAATCCTATGGAGTAATTAAAAAAAATAAGATAGTCATGCAGTCTCCAAAAAAATATTAAATGGGAGAAATTTTTTATGTGTTAAAAAAAGAACTACAAAGGCTATGTATTTCTATAGATTGTATACATAGAAATAAGTCTGAAAGTATGGTTTTCCAGAAGGTTAACTGGGGCTAGTTCTGGGGATTGGAAGAAGATGGAATGTAATAAAGAGTTTAGCTTTGTGCTGTTTGAAATTTTTGCCATGAGATTGTATTCATGTATGTTTTAATTAAAAAGAGATAAAATTATTTTTAAAGCCATAGAAAACTGAACGAGTAATCAGAAAAGCTAGTTTTAAGCAATGTAGGTTTTCTAAAAAATTTCTCCCAGATATAAAACAGCCATCCAAATACATGATAACTTTTTTATGCTCATGAGGCTTAGCAGTTCATAGACTACATTCTCTAGACCTAAAAAATTGAAAAAAAAATGCTTCCATCGAGTTTTTAATTTTTCCATTATTTATATAAAATAGGTGCAAAAGAAAAATTACCGAGAAGAAAAGAAAAGAGCCACGAAGGAGTTGCTCAGTACCATCACAGATCCTTCTGTTATTGTTATGGCTGACTGGTTAAAGGTCAGTGAGTTTGCATCTTGAGTTCAGCTTGCTGTATATTTACCTACTAGAATGGAAAAATCCAGAGTGTACTGAAAGCCCAAAGACACTTGCTAGGTGATCCTTGTTCACTGGTGAGCAAATTATTAAGTGTATCTCAGAGGTTTTATGTTCCAATCTTAATGGGGAGAAGGAACTTTAATATCTCTCTTGACAATTTAGGATCAAATATGCATAGCATTTCTTTTAAAAAGACTTTTGTGTGATGTTATGTATGATGTTAAGTATTTTGCTTACTACTCAAATTATTGTTGTATACTTTTCATATGCATTATTGAGGAAAAAATGAGGCAAAGTTAATATAAAAGTTACCATTTGAAAAGTATTAGTTAGACATACATATTGCTACTTCCATATGCTATTCTTTTGACCTCTGGTTATTTTTATTTTTATTTCCTTTTCTCTCATCTCAGTCACTCTATCCTCTTCCTCATTTTTATCTGAGGGATATCTGGTAAGAATCTTTCAAACTACTCTTTGTAGGGCTGGGGATATCTCAATGGTAGAGTGCTTATCTAGCATGCATGAGGCCCTGGGTTCACTCCCCAGCACTGCAAAAGAAAAGCAAAAAAAAAGAATAAACTTATAAGATTTTAATTCCCAGAAATTTGTTATACCTAGCTACTGCTAGCATTCACCTAAGATTCACCACATCCTTGAAGGCTTTCCAGTTTGCTCAAGAGTTGGTAAGACCTCCAACCTAATAACCCTTATGAAACCTATTATGGAAGTTCTCACTAAATTGGCAATCTAATGGTAGTTTCCCTGACAATTTAAGTAACACCAAGATTGTCTTCAATCTTATACTGAAAACACCTTCTGGTTTAATTTGGCTCTACTTAGAAATGTTTTAACTCCAGATCTTGCTCCCTACCCCCTACTGGCTTTTTAAAACACTTCACTGGCTTTTTAAAACCTACATTCTGGTAATTTGTCCTCTGTGAAGTATTGTCTTTATCATCAAGAATTTTATCTGAGGGTAATTCCTTTCCTTTTGCTTCTTTTGTCGTACCATCTCTTTTACATGTATATCTTCCTTTTTCTTAAAATTTTTCACTTTTCTTATACCTGGCTCCAAATTACCCCTTTTCAATTTTTCTCATTTAGAATTACTGCAGTATATCTATTTGGGGGTTAGGAAATCCTACATTTATTTCATAATTTATGTAAGTACCTCAAGAGAACAGATGCTTTAAAGTAAATAAAAGTGAGGATAATTCCTATTTTTAAAATTTCTAAATTTTAACATTCTTTTTAATATTGTGAATTCAGTAAGTTGCCTAGAAACAATTTCAATAGATTTTAGAAATAGAGAATGATTGAAAATAAGTATAGGCTTATTAACATAGCATTAAATCTTAGGATAAGGAACATTTTATGAGAAGATTCATGTAATTTGTGTTTTAAAATTTCCTCCAAGAAATTTACATATCATGCTTTATGTAACCACTAAAAACAAAGTAATTTTGGAAGACACTTTAAGGGTCAAGGAAGAGGTTCTTTCTCATTCCTACCATTCATCCACTAGAGAATTCCTGGTATGTGCCAGCAATGTTTTTAGCACTATTGATGCAGTGATAAGGGGGAAAAGGTAGAAAAGGCAAAAATAACCATTTATTCACATAAAGTTACAGCTTTATAAATGCTACAAAAAGAACTGCAGTACTAGTATTTTTTTTTAAAGAGAGAGAGAATTTTTTTTTAATATTTATTTTTTTTAGTTTTCGGCAGACACAACATCTTTGTTTGTATGTGGTGCTGAGGATCGAACCTGGGCCACATGCATGCCAGGCGAGCGCGCTACCACTTGAGCCACATCCCCAGCCCAGTACTAGTATATTTTAATGGCTCCTGACTCTGGAAACTCTTCTACTTGGTTCATTTTCTTTAACTGTTGAACTAGTCTTCTACTGAAACTAAAGTTGCTGCTGGGCATGTGGCACATGCCTACAATCCCAGCTGTTCTGGAGGCTGAGGCAGGAGGTTTGCAATTTCAAGGTCAGCTTTAGCAACTTAGCAAGATCCTGTCTCAAAACATCTTACAAAGTTAAGATCTCTTAATTCTTATTCTACCACTAAATCAGTGGTAGAATACTTGCCCAGGATGTTCAAGGCCCGGGGTTTGATCCCCAGCACTCTCCTCCCCATAAAGTCCTTACAAGTAGGAGCCATATTATTTCACATCTATATTCAGTGCTTGCCATGTGATATCTTTTTAAAGAAATATAAAAAAATGTACATGCTAAGGATACTTTGAAATCCTATTTGCAATTATTCAGTTTGTATCTATGGACAAGAAGAACAAATATTTATTCCTTAAATGAACTTATCTTTCTGTAGATTCGTGGTACTTTAAAGAGCTGGACCAAGTTGTGGTGTGTGTTGAAACCTGGGGTGCTACTGATATATAAAACACAAAAAAATGGTCAGTGGGTTGGAACAGTCCTTCTGAATGCCTGTGAAATCATTGAGCGTCCATCAAAAAAAGATGGCTTTTGTTTCAAACTTTTCCATCCATTGGAGCAATCTATTTGGGCAGTAAAGGTAATGTAAGCACTTTTCAAGGTAAAAAGTAAAGATGAAAATCTGAGTAGAATTACGATAAATCAATCAGTTGATTTCTGTCTTCCCAGAACTCAAAGTTATTCTTGTTTTTGAGAGCATTATTTCCTGTCTGTAATCACAATGTAACATGCACCAAAAGACTGTTTATCTTTAAGATCTAACTTGAACAATTTTTCCAGAAAATATTTCCCAAATTTATATTGCATTTTATTTCTCTTGTCCTTGGGGATTCAATTTATACTGTTTAGGTAAATTTTTAATTACTCTCTTTATAACATTGCATTATATTTACTTTTTCCTCTTCATCAGAATGGTAAGAACTCCTAAAACAGAAACTGCCGTGTATTTTGTGATTTTTCCTGTAGTGATGTCAATGTGAGATGGGGAGTCTAGAAGCAGAAGCTGTCCTAGTTAAGAAAGGCAGCTCTAAGGATGGAACTCAGCATTTTTATAACTAAAGAGCACTACTGAGGTCACTAATGTGCTGTAAAAGCAGAAGTAAGCAGGGAAGAAGAAGTGTCTTAGGTGATTAACTTTCAAGGCATTCTACAAGCAGTTGCCATGCAAGACATACTAAATCAAGGATCTAGTTTAAATTTTTATAAAGTGATCTTTATTTTCTAAGAAGGTCAATTACCCTTGAATAAGGGTTGGAAGTTCTCTTTTAAGGAAAACCACCTGAGATTAGTGCTAAGTTCAAGTAGCTTCACTTTGTGTGTTTGTGTGTGTGTGTGTGTGTGTGTGTGTGTGTGTGTGTGCATGCATGTGCATGCATGCACGCTCAGTTAGACAATATCCATACACACAAAAAAAGACCTGAACTTTTAATCTTTAGTTCAGTAGTCATTGTAGCAGTAAATTTAGTATTACAGAGTTAGTTCCATTCTGGGCTTAGGTAATTCTGTTTTACTTGTGAACTATATTTACAGCTGTTTTCGCTAGACTTCTAGAAATTTAGTGTTTCTTATCTAGTGGTATTTGTGGAATGGAAATTCTCTGGGTTTATTATGGTAAATTTTAGGTCTCTTTAATATGTAGACAATATGTAGAGATAATATTTAAGTGATGCTAATTATCATTTGTTTAGTTTTCTGTTAAGGAGGTGAATTTTTTGGAGAAAAAATCTTGCCTTAATATTTAACCTTTGCATTCTCAGGAAGAATGAGATTAAAGCTGGTTTGCTTTTAAATTAGAATCTATGCCTGCTTTAGATTATTGTAAATAATGATAGATAATACAAAGTTAAGATTTCTTAATTCTTATTATACACAATTTATTTTATTACTAAGGGTCCAAAAGGTGAAGCAGTTGGGTCCATAACTCAGCCCTTACCTAGCAGTTATTTGATCATCCGAGCTACTTCAGAGTCAGATGGTAAGTATAATTTTTGATGGACAGGATTTTGGTTTTCATTTTTAAGAGCTTTTTTATGTATCACTTTGTATTGTTCCTGGAGGAAGTCTGTGTTTAGTATAACTTGAAGTACAAATATTGGAACCATAAGTTACTTAGAATATTTTATGTGTTGTAAACTTGGTAGACAGAAATCTGACAGGAAAGAAACATCTTAAAATTGAGCCATGTGTTAGCAGTTTAGTTTCCTTCTTCATCCTCCACTTACTCATTAATCCCTTTTTGACTTCTTAGTGTTCTTCTTGGTAAATTATAAAGTTTTATCATTTTTGGAGATACATTTGTTTATATTTCATCACTAAATAGTAACATTTATGAGACACATATACTGTTGGTTTTATTTTATGTAAAAAAATATTAAAGTACATAGTCTTTATTTTATACTTTATAACTTGATACCTCATTCATGAAGCAAATATGGGGAGAGCAAAACTTATATGAAAGCAAGGTAACTTTAAAAGCTTAATAATTGATAATGGCTCTGTGCTTTTATGTTGCATAGTTTTTATTAGCTTGAAGTAGGGAATCTTCTAAGCTTTCAAAGCTGATTTTTACCAGAAGATTATTTTTAATTAAAATATGGACCTGAACTTTTGATATGAAACTGTTTTGTGTAGCAGATATTGCTATCAGATTTTAAAACAAATATATTTGAATTTGGAGAGCACTTAAAGATATATAAACATTTTTCTGCTAATGCAGTTCTGATTTAAAAAATAAATCTATTAATTTTCTCGTAACAAGTATGGCAGTTAGTGATAGCATTATATAGGCTTTTTCCTGACTTAAAATTTTTCTTTTTTTTTTTTAAAGAGAGAAAGAATTTTTTAATATTTATTTTTTAGTTCTCGGCGAACACAACATCTTTATTTTATTTCAGTTTTTTATGTGGTGCTGAGGATCGAACCCAGCGCCCCGCACATGCCACATCCCCAGCCCCCCACATTTTCATATATATAAGCATGATGGATGTTAAGCCTGGGAGCAGACCTCCTATTAATGACAAAACATTATTTCAGATAGCTTATTTACTAGTTGAAACATAACCCCTTCAATATATATTTGTACTTTGCTTGGTACTTCAAATTATGCTACATCTTAGTGTTCTAAGGTTTGGAAAATAAAGTTTATTCATTTTACTAGGTATTCTTGCTAATTCATGTTATGTCCTATTCATTTATCAGTAGTTCATAGATGCTTATTATGTAAAAAGCTTTTGTAAAACAGATATTGCATTAGAAAATCTTAGCAAATTTTATGTTCATGTTAACTTTTCCAGTGTTTCTCAAAGAAATTATGGTATCTTTAAAGGTAATGAGACTATAAGATGGATGCTTTTAATTTAATTGTACTGCTTATAAATTTGTGTTCTTCTAGGAAGGTGCTGGATGGATGCTTTAGAGTTGGCTTTGAAATGTTCTAGTCTTCTTAAACGCACAATGATCAGAGAAGGAAAGGAACATGACTTTAGCATTTCATCAGATAACACACATGTGACATTGTATGGGTTATTACGTGCAAACAATCTCCACAGTGGTGACAACTTCCAGTAAGTAAATAGTAATTTGTATTGATTTCAGAGAGCATGGTGTGTACTAGATTATTTGGCAATCCTAGTATTTTAGTAATGTATGTAGATTAAAATCTGCCTATCTTCTTCTCATGATGAGGCCTAAAGCCTTTAAAATTTGTTTGCTAGGATCAGGTATAAAAGTGTATTTCCTTTATTCTATCCAATACTCTGTATTCCCCAGTTATAGCTATGCTAACTATTCAACTTTGGGCATAGGGTTCCTCTCATGAATTCTAGCCAGGCTCAGTGGCACATGCCTGTAATTCCAGCAGTTCGTGAGGCTGAGACAGGAGGATCGTGAGTTCAAAGCTAGCCTCAGCAAAAGCGAGGTGTTTAGCAACTCAGTGAAACCCTGTCTCTAAATAAAATACAAAATAGGGCTGGGGATGTGGTTCAGTAGTCGAGTAACCCTGAGTTCAATCCCCAGTTACCACCTCCCCCCAAAAGAATTCTACTTCTTACTCTTTTTTCCTGCCATAATTCTATGTATTATTTAACAATCAGTTTCAATAACATCGTTTGTGAAACTTTTTCTGCCTCATAACAATGACATGTAATTTGTTGTTTTGTTGCTCTTCTATAGTGCTTTTTTTTTTTTTGTAATGGCAGAAGACTTCCTCTACATAGTATTTGTGGAATTTTCTCATATTGTTAAGCATTTTGAGCTGAAACTTTTTCCAATTGGTGCTTTTAGCCCCTAGACCATTCATTGTAGTTAATACTAATAAATATTTCTCCAAGGAACTGGGCATCAGTATAAAGGCTTTATTCAAGTGCTGATTTCTTTTGTTGCTTAGGAGGGAAAACATTAGCCCTTTTCTTTTCCTCCCCACATATTAGCTTCTACTCTGCAGCTTTTATTCCATTCCCATCAGAATTAAGGTTCTTTTTCTCAAGGTTAGACTGATGTTCAGCTCAGACCACAGGGAGTGGAGAGCATTTTTTTCCTAGACTTTTGCCTAACACTTTTTAAAACTTTAAAGCTTCTATTACCTAACCTTTAACCACCCTTTTCTGCAGACCCATAGTCTGAGGTTTAGTTAATCTAAAACCTGGAATCTGAATGAGATAGGACAGGAGTGAAGTAGGACCACTATAATATAGGAATGAGTGCCTGTTGACCTCTTCTGAAGATTTCTCACCTTTGGTACAGATTATTTACCCCTGTTCACTTTAAGTGAGAATAAGATGAATACAGCAGATTTTTCAATTTTATGCCAATAGATTGATTTCCTTAAGCTGAAGCTTACATTTCCTATTCTTCCTGGAAGATTAAGTCTATCAGACAAATATTAAATAGAATTCAATACAAATACTTAATCTTTTCCATTTTTTTTCTTCTTATTAGACTCATTGTGAGTAGCTTTGTAGACTTTTACAGGTGAAAAGTCAAAATTCATTTGAGTTCACTTGATAACCTGATGAACTTTTCTGACAGTTTTAAGACCGGAAGTGACAGGGAGCTTACTTGAAATGATGATGCTTGCAAAACTATGGGGAAAAATCTAGCAAGGGGTAGTCTAAGATCTTGCTTTTGGAAGATTTTAGCCCAAAGAGTAGAAAGGTAAAAAGCTCAGACTGTCATCTTTTAACATCTCCCTAGATTTTTAGTTAACTTCTTTGTGCCTCTATATACTTATCTGTAAAATAATAATATTACCTATCTCCTAGGGTAATTTTGAGGATTAAATGAACTAAACTATATAAAATACAACAGTGACTAGTACATAGTAAATTCAAAATAAGTGTTACATTTTATTCTAATTTATACATTAAGTATTCCTAACTTCTTTTATTCTTCTTCCTAAATAATTCTCTTAAGGTTAAATGATAGTGAAATTGAACGACAGCATTTTAAGGACCAAGATATGTACTCTGACAAATCTGATAAAGAAAATGATCAAGAGCATGATGAGTCAGACAATGAGGTGATGGGGAAAAGTGAAGAAAGTGACACAGATACATCAGAAAGGCAGGATGACTCATACATTGAACCTGAGCCTGTTGAGCCTTTAAAGGAGACCACCTACACAGAACAGAGCCATGAGGAACTTGGAGAGGTAAAGGTCTATTTTTTTTTTTTTTTGAGAAATTCTGGCTTCCTAAAGTCATTGCAGTTTCCAAATGATATTGTAGATATTATTTGCTTGAAAGAGAATATTTGCATGGTGCCTATGGTTATATACATATAAAATATATCAGGATTTATAAACAAACATACACACTTATACAAATACCAATATAGTCTATTAAATTTAAAGTTTATAAGAGTTGGATATACAGCTGAGTGGCAGTGTTGTCTAGCAAGCATGAGGCCCTGGGCTTGATCCCCAGTACCTTAAAAAGATTATATTTTCTTAAGGTTTGCATTTGAAGTAGGATACTGCCTGATGTCATTTCCAGATGCAAACTAAATTTCGAGGAAACATGAGTTTGTAATTTTCTTAACTATTGCAAGTTCTGAGAAGTAAATGTAGTATAAAACAATAGGATAAAGTGTTTAGAGTGGATCTTCCATATATATTGCTCATTTTGATGTCTCTCACAGCTCCCTTTTTTAAGGTTTGATAGCTGTAGACTTTATTTATTATTTGAATTGTTTCTACCTTTTAAGAGTGTTTGGAGTAGTCCTGGAAAAAAAATCATATTTTTAATATTAGTTGTCTTGTCTATATATCTGTGTGTGTGAAATAAATGTTTCAATATGTTTTGTTAAAGGCAGGTGAGGCTTCTCAAACAGAAACTGTGTCTGAAGAAAACAAGAGCCTTATCTGGACATTGCTGAAACAGGTCCGTCCTGGCATGGACCTGTCCAGGGTAGTTCTGCCCACTTTTATTTTAGAACCCCGTTCTTTTCTGGATAAACTTTCAGATTACTACTATCATGCAGATTTCCTGTCTGAGTAAGTATATTCTTATTTCTTAAAATAGAAGATGCTTCATGATTTTAGAGATTCTCAAGAATGCTTCTTTCACTAATTATACCTTTCCAAAGTTAGGCTGTAATGAATGATATACTTTTTTCTCTCTCTCTACCACTTCTATAGTCAACTTTAATAACAAGCATATTTAATACTTTGCTTTAATATTTCCATTTAGGAAGCTGAATGGAAAGATAACCAAATGAACATTGGGCCTTCACTGATTGGGGCTGAGGACCTCTAACAAAATTGTTCATGGGGCTCTTTGGCCACTGTTCAATACTGTAAATGCTAGGTGTTGTGCAGTGCAGAAATTCCAAAATGTGTGTGTGTGTGTGTTTATCCCAATTTCTCACAGAACCCCTGGGCAGTTTATCAAAGAATGGGAGAAATGTGGGGTAGGGGAAGTGACTAGATTAAGAAAAATGATTCTCAGGAATCAATTTACATGGTTGTTCTTGCTGTTTATTAAATATGAATTATGTTTTTCCAATCATCTCTTATTTAGTTATTGACTGATATATTTGAGGGAGAATTTGTGACCTAGCCTTTAAACTTTTCTGTTTAATACTTTGTTTTTTTTTTAGGGCTGCCCTGGAAGAAAATCCTTATTTCCGTTTAAAGAAAGTAGTGAAATGGTATTTGTCAGGATTCTATAAAAAGCCAAAGGTAATATTTATATTTTACTTTGTTTAGCTTTTTTAGTTTCTTATTTTCCATGTGCAGTATTTAGATTATTTATTGGCAATTACTAATAAAATGCTCGATTATTTAGACCTTTATTTTGATTGAAGTTGTCTTATTTCAGATAGATTTCATTTGCTATGAAATTTTATAAGAATGTCTTCCAGATGATAGTCAATCATGTTTTGACTGGTTTAAACTACTTTGAATCTTTTCTATTTGTAATTTAAAACTTCTGTTTTTTTTTTTTTTTTTTAAACTAGGGACTGAAGAAACCTTACAATCCCATACTTGGGGAGACTTTCCGTTGTCTATGGATTCATCCCAGAACAAATAGCAAAACATTTTATATTGCTGAACAGGTATTGGAAATGCATGTTACAGAAACAAAATTGTTCTGGAAGTTATTTGGACATTTTTATAGAAAATATTATCTCAGGGTTGGGGATGTAGCTCAGTTGGTAGAGACGCAACACCAAAAAAAAAAAAGAAAGAAAGAAAGAAAATATTATCTCGGTAAACTCATGATGGTTGTTTAACCTTTCTAATAAGTGAATGCTTAGTAAACATCTAACTTTTTAGTACTATATGCTACTAAATACCATACTCCTAAGCATTATTGTTACAGTCATAGAATCCTTTGACCAAAAATTTTTATTTTTTACTCCCTACCTTTCTACAAACACTTATTATTTATTAATTTTGGCCAAGTTTATATTTCCAAAACATTTTATTGATAGTGTGCAGAATTCTTAAGTTCTGAAATTAGAATTATACCAATTTTTGTGGTGTTCAGGGTCCTACAGTTTTTTCCTAAATTTATCTCAGATTAAATGCTTTTCCAAGTAGTTAGAACCCTATATATTCACAACTAGGTAATGTTATACTTTCTTGCCTCATTATTTTTATACTTACTTCTCTCACCAATATTTCTTCTTAGCTATTTTTCTTCTAAACAAACTCTGACCTTATCATTTCTCATTATTCAATAACTACAACTCTCAGTGATTTTTCCCTTCTCAAATGTCTGTATTTTTTTGTGTGTGTATGCGTGTGTGTGTGATTTTTGTTGTTGTTATTAAGCTCGTTACTTTAACACTAGTATTGTTTACCTTATTACAGAATATTTATATCCCTGGTTAGGGATGGTACCAATTCTTTTTGTTGTATACATAGTAAGTAGTAAGAAAATATTTCAGTTTGGGGGGTTTTTTAGTTTGTTTTCTGGTGCTAGAGACAGAACTCAGACCTTAATTTTATTTATTTACTTATTTATTCTTATTTTATTTTTAGCAAGCACACAGCAGGTTTATTGCAAAAATGACAAGAGACAGACTTCACCAAAGAGAAGGGGCCATAGAGCCAAGTCTCTGTTTATTGTTTTGAAATGGGGTATTGCTATGCTGCCTATGCTTGATTCTAGCTCCTATACTGAAGGGATTCTCTTGCCTTGGCCTCCCAAATAATTTGGACTACAGGTGCACATCACCAGTCCCAGATTTTCTTAGTTTTTAAACTTTAATTATGTGCATCTGTTTTCATGATTTTCCATATTCTCCCTTGTCTGCACTAATCTGAGTAATATGATTTCTCTCTCAGTAACAATCACTCCTTATAATAATTCTCTCCCTGAATGTAGGGAGGATGAGACCCTGTGTCTTTTGGAAGTCTTCCTCTTCCCTTAGAGATTCTTTCTGATAACCCCTCAGGTTGAAACTACTTGTCTATATTAATTTTTTAAAAAATAGTGATGACACCACCTTGCATTTTAATTTACTAAAATCCTTCAAAAGTTGAGAAGTTTGAGAAGAGTTTAAATTTTAGCTTTATCTCATTTCAGAAATTAGAAGATATAAGTATATTGAAAACATTAATTATTAACATGTTTGTCAAACTTTAGTTTCCTACAGCCAGGTCAGTAATCCATATGGAGAATAACCAAGAATAACTAAGAATATTACTTAGACACTGCAGTGTCACAGATTATTGTCCAAAATGAATGAGTTAAAATGATATGTAATATATGATGAAGTTCAGGAATCTGAGATCCACTTAACTCAGTGGTTCTGGGTCGGGATCTCTCATGCATTTGCAATCAAGATGTGAGTCATGGGGCTGGGGTTGTGGCTCAGTGGCAGAGTGCTTGCCTAGCACATGCGGAGCCCTGGGTTCAATCCTCAGCACTACAGGAAAAAAATAAAAATAAAAAATAAAGGTATTGTGTCCAACTACAACTAAAAAATAATTTAAAAAAAGATGTTAGTCAATTGTGCAGTCATCTGCAGTTTGACTGAGCTGGAAGATTCACTTCCAGGTTCCTCCCTTCACTATGGGCAAGAGAATTCAGTTCTTCAGAACATGAACTTCTCCATGGAGTTTTTCACAGCATGAAAACTGGCTTCTCAGAGTTAATGAAAAAGAGAAAGAGAGAGAGATCAGAAAAACTCCCAAATGGAAACTTATAACCTAATGTCAGAAATTATATACTAACATTTCCATACAAACCATCTGTGGTTCAGTATAAGGGAATCCTACCTTTTGGTATGAATGCCAGGAGGTAGATTTCCTTGGGTAACAGGGAAAGCTAGTTACTATAACAACCAATGTTTAATTTTTTTAATAACCAAATGTTTCTTCTCACTTATTATAAGACTTGAACCTTTGATAATAGTAATATAATATGCTTATTTTATTACATTTTGTTTCTCCTGTTTTCAATAGGTGTCCCACCATCCACCAATATCTGCCTTTTATGTTAGTAACCGAAAAGATGGATTTTGCCTTAGTGGCAGTATCCTGGCTAAGTCCAAGTTTTATGGTAAGTTCCCCCCATCCCAATCTGTACACTTTCCAGAGAAGTAATATTTTCTGGTAGATTTTTGTTTACCAAAAAAAAAAAAAAAAACTTGTTTTCAGCAATGAATGTATATGTCATTTTAAATATCATCTTTACTTAAATAGTGACCATTCATAAATAGAGGTATGGCTCATTTCATATAACTGTTCAACACATGTCTGTAAATTCATCACAAACATCACTTAAGAAAAGATAGAATGAATACCCATTATAGCCTTCTAATGCATAATGAATTTCTTTTGCCTTTAGCTCTACCAAGTTTTGTTTTGTTTTGTTTCAGTGTACCCAAGGGATCAATCTTTCTGTTTTAGTTTTTTAGTATATAGAGAAAATTTAAGTATGGTCAGATTACTTAGTCCAGGGTCACCTGGTAATGATATTTAACCTTGGGCCAAATAATATACCAATAAAATTTTTTTCCAAGTACGAGGGAGAACATAATAGGGAACCTTAATATAAAAATTTTGACAATTCAGACAAATCATTGTCAATAATATATACTAGTAGGAAATATATACCTTTAAATGCTGTTTTTTAAACATTTTTGTATGGAAAAAGATCAAAGAATTCTATTTCAACTGAAGAATTTTAAACCTAAGTGAAAATAAATATATAAAATGATAAATAAAACATAAAGACAGAAATCTAAGGTCTGGTTTCCTAAGAGGATAGAGAACCAGAGATAAGTCCATGTTAGGCAAATCTCAAGGTAGTGTTTTGTTTTTGTTTTTATTTTTTTTTAATGGTGCTGAGGATTGAACCCAGGCCTTTGCATGAGAGGCACTGAGCTATACCCCCCCACCCCAAGAGTAATTTTTGATCAGAAACATTGTGTATATCTTTATATTTTGTTCCTTTAATGTTTGGTTTGGTGTTTTTGCCTTTTTTTTTTTAACTTCAGAAGGTGACTGCTTATTTTCTCCTAAAGAAATAAGTCAACGTATTCTTTTTGGGGGTGCTAGGGATTGATCCCAGGGACTCAAACATGCTAGGCAAGTGCTCTACCACTGAGCTACATTCCCAGCCCAGGTTAAACACATTTCATGTTTAGATTATTCTTTTCCCGCCATCTTCCCACCCCCTATCCTGGCTACAATACAAATGACTTTTATGAGTATTGTGTGTGTTTTACTCTCAGAAATAATAATAATAATAATAATTATTATTATTATTATTACTGTGTGTATTATACTGTGTATATATGTGACTGCATGACTAATGTGATTCTGCAACCTGTATACTCAGAAAAATGAGAAATTATATCCCATCTGATTCAAATGTATGATATGTCAAGTTCATTGTACTGTTATGTGTAACCAACTAAAAAAAATTAAAAAAATAAAAAGAGAAAATATTGGATTCACATAAAAATAAATAAAAATAAATTTCCATTTCTTTCAAACTCATTTTTTTGTTCTTTTTAGTTATACATGAGAGTAGAATGTATTTTGACATATTACACAAACATGGAGTATAATTTCTCATTCTTGTGATTGTACATGATGTGGAGTTACATTGCTCATGTATTTATATATGAACATTCTACTGTCTTTCCCATTCCCATTCTCTCTCCCTGCCCTCCTTTCTTCCGTGTCCAATCTGGTGAACCTATACTCCCCACCCTCCCATTGTGAGTCAGCAGCCACATATCAGAGAGCATTTGATCTTTGGTGTTTTGAATTGGCTTATTTCACTTAGCATGATTGCCTCCAGTTCCATTCATATACTGGCAAATGCCATAATTTCACTCTTCTTTATGGCTGAGTAATATTCCATTGTGTATAAATACCACTCAGCAATTTTTATTAATTCAAGATTCTAGCTCACTTGTGATATTATTTCCACACTTGGCTTTTTTAATCCTGTTATGATACAATTTATATTTGAGAGCTATCTGTTCCTTTATAATCTGAAAGAAATGTAGCCATTATTGGGTACTTTTTTTTTAATAACACTTATTTCTTCTTTGCTATTGGCTTGCTCATACAAAAACCTTGTAAGGATGTTTTTGTGGAAGTTATATTGATTGAGGAATTAGTTCATTTTCTTAGTCTAAATTAAAATAAACTTAAAGATACCTTTGTAGAATATCACTTGATAAGTCACTTTATTAGATGCATAACACATGATCTTGCTCTTGTGGAATCTAAAAAGTTAACCTAGAAATATATAGAGAAATAGAGAATAGAATGCTGGTTACCAGAGGCTGGGATAGTTATGGGGGCAGGGCTGTGTGGTTAGGATGTCAGGCAAAGGATACAAACAGGAAGAGGTAGTACAGGAACTTTCTTGTAGGTATGGTCATAGTTAAGGATGATATATTGTATTCCTGAAAAACACTACAAGAGTGGATATCGTGTTCTTACACAAAAATGATAACTGTGTGTGATAGATGTTAGACTGAAACATTCCACAGTGTATGTACTATTAAATGTCATTTATATGCAATGATTTTTATCTGTATAATTTTAATTAGTTAATTTGAAAGAAGTGAAAAAAGCAGTGATCTTTCTTGATATTTTGCAATAAATGATCAGTTTTTTCTTTTATGGTTCTCGTTTTGATGTCATGGTTAGAAAACCCTTTCTTAACTTGAGCTTAGGTAATTATTTACTTATGTGAACTCATACTTTTATGTTTAGTTAACCTGGCATTTATTCCTATGTATATAATGTGTATGGAATGAAGAAGATTATAACTTTCTCAAAAGCCAAATACTACTTATTTTCACTTGTTTCATATTACTACTATATAGTGTTAGAAACATCACCAGAGGATTTTAAAGAAGTTATAAGTGTTCTCAGTTGGTAATATAAAACATGTTCATAGTAAATGGAAAGATAGGACAGGAGAGCTCAGTAGAAAAATACAAATTATTCCAAAAACTAAATATTAAGAGCTGAAATCTGAAATTAAAAAGCTATAGAATGAACTGTACATTAGAATAGAGATGACAAAGGAAAGAGTAAGTGAATTTGACCAATAGAAATTATCCCTTATGAAAAGTAGAAAAAAGTTGAAAACCTAATGGCCAAAAATTTCCCAAACTTAACTAAATATTTGAATTTACTCAACATGATCAAAAACATCAACTAGTATAAATATGAAGAAGGCCAACCACAACATAGTTAAATTATTGAAAGCCAAAGATTAAAAGCAAATCTTGTAGAGGTGAAGAGTACTGGGGTTGAACTCAGGGGCACTCACCCACTGAGCCACCTCCCCAGCCCTACTTTGTATTTTATTTAGAGCAAGGGTCTCACTGAGTTGCTAAGTGCCTCGCCATTGCTGAGGCTGGCTTTGAACTCGCAATCCTCCTGTTTCAGCCTCCTGAGCCACTGGGCTTACATGCCTGGAAAGAATAAAGTCACTTTTAGATAAAGTGAGACTGAAAAACTTTGTTACCAGAAGATTTGTACTATAAGAAATACAAGAAAGAAAGGGAGGGAGGGAGGGAGGGAGGGAGAGAGAGAGAGAGAGAGAGAGAGAGAGAGAGAGAGATGCTAAATAAAGTTCTTCAGGCTGAAAGTAGATACTAGATAAAAATTCAGATCCTCAGAATGAACATAAGATTGTCAAAAATGGTAAATATCTGGGTAAATACAAGAATACCTTTTATTTCTGTTTTTTCATTTCAGTTTTTTATGATCCATGTTACTATTCTAAAAATTAGCATTGCCTTTTGACTTTTATTAACATATGCAGATATAACACATAAAATTATAGCACAAAGATCTGGAGGAGAATGCACCTAGACAGTGCATACTTTTCTACTTTGCAGAAAGTGATATAATAGCAACTATAACTGGATTGTGAAATACGATGAGTATTTGTAATACCCAAGCAGTGGCCCTCAGTTTGGGAGCAATTTTGCAAATTTGGCAATGTCTGAAGACATTTTTGGACATAATTGAAAGGCCAAGGATGCTACTTACTAAACATCCTACGGTTCATTAAATAGACTCCACAACAAGGAATTATTCAGCCTTCAGTGTCAGTTGTGCTACTGTTAGAAGCGCCCTGCTCTAGGGAAAAAAAAAAAAAAACATGCACAAGATTATACCTAGAAGTATAGGTCACAAAGCAATAACAAAATTAAAATGAACTTTCCAAGATTAAAATTCCAGGATAGATAAAACTACAATGATATAAAACAGAGCAGTGATTTCCTGGGGCTGGTGGAAAGGATCAACTGCTAAGAAGCAAAGGGGGACTTTTTGGGGTGACAGTAAGTTTTATATGTTGATTGTGGTGATAATTATATGACTCCATGCAAGCTTTACATTTACAAATGGGTTACTCACTGTATACTTACTTCTGTAGTAACTCTGATAAAGTTGGGCATATGAGGAGAGAAAAAATGGAAGAAATCAGCATGACATTTTTATCATCCATTGCATTTTGGTGATTTATGCATACTTTAAAAAATTGTCCATAGAATTATTATGTTGATTATAAGTGTTTAAAGCTTGTGACTTTATGTGACTTACCAATAAGAAATATTTTTATTCAAAAGAGACAAAGTAAGCTATACATGAAGTAGTTTTATTGAATATTATACATGTTTGAGATTTTTCATTTGACCTTCTAAAATAACATAGTAACTATTCCTTTCGAAGTTATCATTTTTAAAGAATAAGAATATGAATAAATGTTTTAGATGTAAGATAATGAATACACATTATTTGGACACATTGAGATCAAGAGGTTTTTTTAAGATATTCCATTATAATGCGTAGTTGTTCCAGATATATTTTGTTCATTTTGAATTAGTTGAATTACTTGTTTGAAATTTAATAAATAATATTTGTTTCAGGAAACTCATTATCTGCAATATTAGAGGGAGAAGCACGGTTAACATTCTTGAATAGAGGTGAAGATTATGTAATGACAATGCCATATGCTCATTGTAAAGGTAAATATTTTCCCTACCTAACTTAGATATTTCTTAAACCTTCTTTGTAGGTAAATGTGTATGACCACATTTGTTGTTTTGAGATTGACGGAGTCATACCGATTTTGCTTGAAAGCATCCTTGGTTCACAAATACTTAAAATTATTGTTTCCTGTAGAATATTTCTGTAGTGACTTAAATTCACTCATAATGGACTTTTGTGATATATACATTAGTTGTAAGAGGTTGGTTTATAGTAATGGGCACTTGAATTATATATAGATTTTGAAATTTGATTAAACTTCCCATTATTTAAAATTTTTAGGAAGTGATTTTTAAAATATTTTTTAGTTATTGATAGACCTTATTTTATTCATTTATTGATATGTGGTGCTGAGAATAGAACCCAGTGCCTCACATATGTGAAGCAAGTGCTCTACCCCTGAGCCATAACCCCAGCCCTTAGAAAGTGATTCTAAGTAAACTTCTTACATCACCACCCTTGTTTAAAATTTATTTTGCTAATTTTCAGTACACCAAGTTCTTTAAAATGTTTTTCTCATCCTATTTGGTAATTTCTTAAAGGTTAATGTATTATGCTTCCCTCCTCGAATTATTGAGACTACAGATAGGATGTTAATTAATACCTATCATTTACAACAGGCAAACTACCCAATTAACTGTTGTATGTTACTTCACATTTATAAACTCATTTAATCATTTCAGCAGCCCTGTAAAGTAGAAATATTATAATACCTGTTGTATAAATAAGGAAAATGAGATGCAAAGAAGTCAGTTTCTCTATTATCATCTAGCCAAAATGTGGCAAAATCAAGATCTGAATGCAGGCAATCTATCTTTTCGGTCTTAACTTTTTACTACATTGTATCAGCTTAAATACTCAGCTTGGACATTTTCTGTACCATCCCTTCCAACACATTTCTTCAAAGTAACGTTTTTGTTAATTATCCTTCATTTTTGGAACTTATTCACAAAACCATAGAAATTCTTTACTGTTACTTTATTTTGTAGAAGAGAAACTCAGAAGAGTTAAGAATCTTATTCAGGATTAACACAGGCTTAGATAATTCTTAGAGCTTTGTCTTTTCTATTTTTTTTTTGGTTTGTTTGTTTGTTTGTTTATTGGTACTGGAGATTGAATCCAGGGATGTTTTACTACTGAACTGCATCTCCAGTCCTTTTTAATTTTGAGATAGTGTCTCTTTAAATTACTGAGGCTGGCCTTGAACTTGCAGATCCTCCTTCCTCGGCCTCCCAAGGCACTGGAATTATAATTGTACACCAGTGCACCAGGCCCATGTATAGATCTTAAACATGAAATGAAATATCTGCAATTGTGAATAAGAATGACTATTTTAGAATTTTTTCATCATTTATTTCATATAGCTGCCCATGACGTACCTAACTAGCAGTAGGGAATTTTTTTTTTCATGGCAAAGTTTTTATTGCATGGAAAAAGAAAGATTATAACCCCCTGAGAAAAGCATAGGAAATAATGATAACTTTTGTAAGACTTTCCATGTGTCTTTTCTAAGCTGTATTTCCCAAATTGCTAGTTTCACAAATTGTTTTATAAAATAAGAGTTCCTTGGACAAAGAAATATAAGAAGCATTGCTTAGTTTGTTCTTACAAATAAACGTTCTGCATTTGCATTTTAAAAGCTGCTTTCACTGCTTATTGCATTAACAGATACATAGGTAACTCATTGACTTAGCATTTTCCCAGTTTTTAGCCACAGAACTTATTTTGTAGGTTTTTGTTGTTGTTGTTTACCTCACTTACAGAGTAGATTCTTATATTTTCAGGAGTTAATATTCTATAAAAGTCACCACAAACACTGAGTTAACAAATACTGAATCATTGCCCTATAGGGGAAATATGAGGTTAAGTTCTTGTAAGCCTCTTTTCACAATATTTCAGTCAGCCAATAAGTACATGACTTTGTTTCATGTGTGTTTCTGCTTAAAGATATTTAATTTAATTATAACATTATCATTGAACTAACAGCCAATAGCACAGTAACTATTGCCTGAAGGAAGCTTTAATACACATGATATCCTCTGTAAAGTACATCACAGCCTTCTTTGTACATGGGTCCTTTAAACTGCAAAATCCTTAGCAGAAAAACACACAAATTTAAAACACATGGCACTAAATATCCTGCAGAAGAATACTTCAACAGTATGAGAACTGGATCAAGTTCTTGGAATGTGCACATCTGGTGACTCCAATTTTTCTGCCCCATGCATGTCTACAAATAACTGCAAAAACACTGGGGATATTGATTTTGGGATCACCAATATATTTTAGAGAGTAGGCAAAGTTACAGATGTAGATTCTATACATGTTGTGGTTAAAACTATTATCTATTTATATTCTACAGAACAAACTTTATGTCTGTATTGTAGATACCTATTAAGCAGGACAGAATGTACCTGAATTATAAATTTCTCCTAAAAGGAAACTAGATTACAGAATGTTGCTTATTATAGGCCAGTATGTCTCTCTCTTCAATATTTTATCAATTTTTTTCTTTAGGAATTCTTTATGGTACAATGACACTGGAGCTTGGTGGAACAGTTAATATTACATGTCAAAAGACTGGATACAGTGCAATACTTGAATTTAAACTAAAGGTTAGTAGAGAATGATAGACAATATTATCTAACTAAAGGGAAGCTGTGCTATGAATATTGAACAAAGGAAAACAGTTTAATTCCTAATTAAGAACTAAATTAATTCTCAAGCTAGATGTGATGGCGCACACCTGTAATCCCAGCAGTTTGTGAGGCTGAGACAGGAGGATTGTGAGTTCAAAGCCAGCCTCAGCAAAAGTGAGGTGCTTAGCAACTCAGTGAAACCCTGTCTCTAAATAAAATACAAAATAGAGCTGGGGATGTGGCTCACTGGTTGAGTGTCCCTGAGTTCAATCCTGGTACCAAAAAAAAAAAAAAAAAACAAGAACAAAAACACACACATTTCATGTCAGGTTAAAGAGGTGCATCTGAGGGATAAGGGTAAGGCTAAATTAAAAAGAGCAGATCTGAATTAACATAAAGCCATAATTTTTTTGTCTTTAATTAGTAAAACTTTAATTATATAGGAGACAAGACTTAAGTGATTAGATAGAAATTTCTCTGTAAAGCATGGCTTTACAAAATACCAGAAGTTATATATCAGCTTGCATTCTTGCTCTGTACACTTAAGAGAGAGTTGTATTGTTCAATGTTTTGCACAGCAAATTACCATAAACTTACAGTTTAAAAACAATCATGTTCTGAACCTCATGGGGTAAGTGAGTCATGAATTTGGACAGGGCATATTAGAGATCACTTATCTCTTTTACATAGTATAACCCCCTTCCTGGGGTCCCAGGAATATACTTCAGAATACGTGAGACTCAATAGTTGGGAACTGGAACTCATTTCTGTGTCTGATACTTCAGATGGGATGATTGATGGACTAGAGCTGTCAATCCAGATACCTATATACATAGTTTTTCCATGTGACTTGGCTTCTTCACAGCACAAAAGCTTCAAAACAGAATTCTTACTTTAGGATTTCCAAATTGCAAGTGTTCCAGTGAGCAAGGCAGAAACTGCATTTCCCTTCCATGGCCTAGCCTCAGAAGCCAAATTATACCGCTAACACCATCTTCTGTTGAAGAGTTATAAGACTGCCTGAATTCAGGGGGAAGAGATGTTGACCCTGATTCTTAATGGGAGGGTGGCAAGGTCTCATTGAGGAAGGGCATGTAGGCTAGAGGGGAGAATAGTAGATATTGTTGAGGAGCTCTTTCAAAAATTTGGTATGCCTCAGAGTGATGGGAAAATTTTAAGACCTTTCACAATGTTAGTTGTAGGACAGTATATTATAGTCGGATAAAAAATTTCTATGAATTATTAATCATATTTATTGCTGAATTATTCCTTTGTTGATCAGCAACTCTGCTTTAATAAAAAGGAGCTCAGAAGTATTATATGATGCAATACCCTTTGACTTTTTTCCCTAGTAAATTTTTGCCTGTGTGTGATACTGATGTTTGAAAATTATGACAAAAGAAGTCCTAAGCAATTCATTACATCTTTGAGTGTTGGAGCATCAAGATTTTGTCTGTAAGGAAAGATATTAGCAAGGCAGTACAGTCCCAAAGTATATTTCTTCTAATTTTAGTTTTGGGGGGATTTTTTGGTTATGTATTTATGGGTTTTTTTTTTAAAAAGGGGTTATTTATTTTAATAGGTCATTAAAGCTCTTTGGTTTACTGAGTTATTATGTTTAATGTATCGCCAGTTGAATAGGGCAGAGTCTTGAGAGTTAGGGAGAACTTAGTACTGGAGAGAACACAGGACATGAGTCAGTGATGTGTCAGTGTGATCTTTCTTAATGTATATGGATTTCACAGTCTGTTTTTACCCAGATTCTCCACAGCAACAATTCAAATTGTATTAAAATTTTGTAACTAAAATTTGAGTCAGGATTTTACTATTTAATCTTCAGTAGTGTGTAACTATATATATATATATAATTACTTTTTGTTGTTTGTCTACATTGTATGTAAATATAATTTAAAATTAAAATGTCCAACATTTTATCTTTTGAAAGCCATTTCTAGGGAGTAATGATTCTGTTAATCAAATATCAGGGAAACTTAAATTGGGAAAAGAAGTCCTAGCTACATTGGAAGGCCATTGGGTAAGTATTTTTATATATTAACCTTAAAAAAATTCTATTCCATGTAAAAAAAATTAACAATCATATTAAAATTAAAAGCTTTAGCTTAAAAGCAGATATTTTGATATGGCTCTGTTATCAGTGATATTTAGTTTTATGTAAATTTAGTCTTTCCAAAATGTTTAAATCCGTAGAAGTAGCTAACACATATATAACTTACTGTGTGTTGCATTAAGAATGTAACTCAAGAGCCGGGCCTGGTGGCACATGCCTGTAATCCCAACCTGTAATGAGAAAGGACTACAGAAAAAATATACCCTTCAAAGGCACAACCTTGTGACTTACTTGCCCCAACCAGACTCCACCTCCTAAAGTTTCAGCTACCTTCAGTAGTGCTAATAGCTGAGGACTAAGCCTTTAACACTTTGGAGGACATTCCAAATTCAAACTATAACATTCTGCCCCTGACCCCCTAAGGTTTATTCCTATCTCATAATGCAAAATGCATTTAGTTCATCTCTGAGAGTTCTCATAGTCTTAACAGTTTCAGCATTGTTCACAAGTCCGAGTCCAAAGTCTCCTAAGAGTCAAGGCAAACTCTTAGCTGTGAGCCCTTCTAATAGTAAAAAGCAAGCTAAATACAGTGTCACAGGGTAAACATTCCTAAAGGGAAAAATGTGGGGCTTAGAGAGAGAGCAGAGCAAACATTAAATTCTATAGCTATATGTCCAGCATCTAAGACACACAGTGGCATAATGTGAACTTCAAAGTGCATGTGCAGTCCCCACCTGATGACCTTAGCTCTTGATTTCTTTTTATTGGCAGTAATCTCTTCAGCAACCAACCTTCCTTGGCTGCAACTTTACATGTACTTCTTTTCTGGCCTAACTAAAAGTAAAAGTTTTCCAAATCTTTCCTCTCGGCCTTTTGCTCCCAGTTCTCACCATTAATCTAGCCAAAATCCAGCAATACCTGAATGCTATGCTACTTGAAATTTCCTCCACCAGATTAATTAGTTCATTGCCTTTAATAGTCACAACAGTGACCCTACTTCTCTAACAGATTTCTGTGTTAGTCAGCTTTCCATCTTGTGACAAAATACCTGAGATAAACAACTTAGGAAAGATCTGATTTGGCTCATGGTTTCAGAGATTTCAGCCATGGTCACTTGGCTCTATTGTTTCCAGGCCTGTGGTAAAGGAAGAGAGGACATGGTAAAGCAAAGTTGCTTACCTCACAGCAGCCAAAGGCAAGGAAGGAGAGCGAGAAAGGCTCTGAGGAAAAATATACCCTTCATAGGCACAGCCCCTAGTAACCTACTTCTATCAGCTAGGCAACCTACCTCCAAATTTCCTACCACCTTCCAATTGGGAAGTACCACCAGCCAGGGACCAAGCCTTCAACACCTTTGGAGGACATTCCAGAACATTCTAAATAAAAATTCTTAACATTAATGTTTAATTTCTTTAAATATAGGATAGTGAAGTTTTTATTAATGACAAAAAGACTGATAATTCCGAGGTTTTCTGGAATCCAACACCTGACATTAAGCAATGGAGATTAATAAGACACACTGTAAAATTTGAAGAGCAGGATGATTTTGAATCAGAAAAGTAAGTATACCATTTCTTAGCTAACTTTATGAAGATCAAAGAGTATTTTTTATTCATCTTCTCCTATTTCATATATATGTATATAAAACATATATGTAATATAATATATTTATTTATTTATTTTTATGTGGTGCTAAGGATCAAACCCAGTGCTTCACATGTGCCAGGAAAACACTCTATTACTGAGCCACAACCACAGCCCCTCAAAGAGTTTATTTTAATCCCTTAATACGGTGGTCACTGTTCACTCTGTCTGCTGTCATATTTTATTTCAGTGAAATAGTTTTTATAATTTCATATTTGTGAATATCAAATACAATACAAATGATCTTGTTTCATTGCAGCTCAGAACTAAAATTTCTTATTGTTTCCTTTCTCATCTGCTTCAGCACTTTAAAATTTTTTTGTTTGCATAAAACTATAGAACCCATTAGTGAGTCTTAGTTCGTACTTGGCAACTATTTTTTTTCAAAGAGAGAGAAAATTTTAATATTTATTTTTTTAGTTTACGGCGGACACAACATCTTTGTTTGTATGTAGTGCTGAGGATCGAACCCAGGCCGCATGCATGCCAGGCGAGCGCGCTACCACTTGAGACACATCCCCAGCCCTACTACTTTTTAATCTATTTAGACAGGTAGATCTCTTAGAAATGGTCAGATTCTATTTTTCTTCCATTCTGTTTTGCCTTTCAAAAGAGGGCAAAAATTAGTGTCATAGTTTCAGTTCTTAGGTCATGAAATTCTTGTAAGATCACTTAACACTTTTGAATCAAAAATGTGTGCACTTTATATTTCTTTGTGTTAAGAGGACTATTGTATTCAAGAGACTTTGCCAAGTACCTTATACACATTAGTCCTCACTACGTGTTCTACATGCTTATCATCTTCTTTCATGGGTATTCATGTCTATGTGTACTTTTCTATACTCAAAATTGAGGGTTGTAAAAAATGGAAAATATATAAGTTCTTAAAAATTTCATTTCAGCTACAACCATAGGATGTTCTCCATCTAAAGCTTTTTTTTCAAGACATAACAGTTTGTGAGGTGTGAATATAATTCAGCATATGCTATAGGTGAAGAAACAAACTTGGACAAATAGGAAACTAAGATCAACAGCTGAGAAATGGCAGATGTAGGATTTACTTCAAGTCTGACTGATTGCTAAGGCTTTTGTCTTTCAGCTTCAACATGTTGCCTTCTCACAGGATGGGATAGAGATCTTACACTTTCACTTAACTAATAAAAAAACTAAATTTTATAGCTAAAATTATTTTTTTCAAAGTATTTTTCTTAAATAAGTGGTTCTCAACACTGACAGCACGTTAAAATAATCTAGGAAGTGTAAAAATATATTAATACTTCAGCCCACTCCTAGAGATTCTGATTTTAAGTTTTCTGATAAGTACTGCATCTAGAGTTGAGAAGCACTGTACTACACCAGTGTTATCTTTATGAGGTCAGTGAATATTATACAAAATGTGTAAGAATCATCTGGGGAACTTATTAAAAATATAGATTCTTTTGATTCCTACCTTCACTACATTCCTATTGTCTTTGGTTGATGACATTAACTACCATATGCGTATTATCAAATATAATAAATTTAATAAACTTCTCCCCCATCCCCATTAGTTTCTCTTCTTAGGGCACTGGACTTTATATCTTGACTCATTCCTAAGCATATGAGTGTAAGTTTTGTCATAGTTGGAACTCATGAGCATTATTTTGTCTCAGCAGGATTCAAGCCTGTTCTGTATAGATTTTGCTTTTGTTGCCTTCTTTAAATATCATTTTTGCACTTGTATTAGGCTCTGGCAGCGAGTAACTCGAGCCATAAATGCCAAAGACCAAACAGAAGCTACTCAAGAGAAGTATGTTTTGGAAGAAGCTCAAAGACAATCTGCCAGAGATCGGAAAACAAAAAATGAAGAATGGACTTGCAAGTTATTTGAATTTGATCCTCTCATAGGAGAATGGCATTACAAATTTGCAGAGTAAGTAATTAAAAAGAGTGTATTTCAAATATATTAGCATAATTTGTTGCCTTTAATTCTATGTTATTTATTATTGGTCACCATATACATGTGCATGAGATTTTAAACTTGATATTCCATTTATTTATAAACTCAATGGTAGTAGTTATCCTACAAAATAAGCCAAAGATTAGATTAGAAATGGACAAATTTTAATATTAGAATCATGCTTATAATTAATGAAAAACTAATCATAGAATAGAAACTTTCTTAAGTTCTTTGGTTATTAAGCAATTTTTTTTTTTTTTTTACATTTATCTAGTACCCGACCATGGGACCCACTTAATGATATGATACAATTTGAGAAAGATGGTGTTATCCAGACCAAAGTGAAACATCGAACTCCAATGGTATGTAATAAAAAAGTAACTAGGCCTATCTGCTAGCATTATAAATTTGTGAAATCTTTAGTATCTAAAGATTCAAATTTTAAAATTGTGTTTCAAAATTTTAAATTTAGGTTCTTAGAAAATGCAAGAAAGTTCAGAAGTGAAATGATTGGGTTATAAGAGCCTTAACCTAATCAGTCAGTGCATTAATCCACTTGAATAGATGACTGGGTGGTGACTCTAGGCAGATAGAGTGTGGCTGGAGGAGGTAGATCACTGGGGTTTGCCTTTGGGGGTATGTGCTTTGTCCCTGATGAGTGGAATTCTCTCTGATTCCTGTTTGCCACATTTAGAGCTGCTTTCTTCCTCTGTACCCTTCCACCTTAATGTTCTGCCTCACCTCTGGCCAAGAGCAGTGAAGTTGACTATCTCGGGACAAGACTTCTGAAACTATGAGCACCAAATAAACTTTTCCTTCTATAAAATTGTTCTTGTCAGATCTTTTGGTCATGGTGGCAAAAAAGCTGAGTAAAGCATGGGGTAAACAAAATGGCAGAGTAGGCAGCTCGAAGCTCATGTCATCCCAAAGAACCATCAAAAAACAAGCAAAAACTATCTGAAAAATGTACCGGAAACCTGGAAAAGTCAAAGTTTTATAGCAGTCAAGGGGATGCTGAATCAAGAAAAGTGTAACTTCAAAGCAGCAGGAAAACTTTATAGTATTTTACTTGCCCTTGTCCCACCCCTTCCTTGGTGCAGGAGCAGTGTTGTAGGATTCCTGCATTCCCAGAGTGAGTCCCTGGTTCCAGAGGGAGCACAGCAGACCATAAAAATAAACTGTGAAGATGTATTTTAATCTGTCAGGGTACATCCTAAAGGACCCAGGTGGGGCACTCATCTTTATAAACAGAGATTATGCAAAAGAAGCAAACATTCTATAGCTGAAAAGCACAGTAACAAATGAAAAATTCACTATAGGAATTCAGCAACAGATTTGAGCAGGCACAAGACAGAATCTGCAAATGTAAAAATAAAACAATTGAAATTATCACATCTGAGGAGGAGAGAGAAAAATGAAGAAAAGTGAACAGAGTCCAAGGGACTTGTGGAGCACTATCAGGTGGGTCCTCACATGCACTTTGGGAGTCCACAGGAGAAGAAAGAAAATGGGGTGAAGACTATTTGAGGAAAGAAGGCCCCCAAATTTCCAAATTTGATGAAATATGTCACTCTATAAATCCAAGGAGCTCAACAGGAACAAACTCAGATCTATACACAAACCATCAGGCCAAATAAAGAAACTTGGGAAGCAACAAGAGAGAAGCAACTTCTCATACAAAATTATTAACAGATAACATGATATATATATATAAAGCACAGGAAAGCAACCAGAGCTAATGAACAACTGAGCAAATTTGCATGTATAAGATCAATACACAAATATCAGTTGTGGTTATATATACCTGCAGTGACAAATCCCAAAAGGAAATTAAGAAAGCAACTCAATTTATAATAGAATTTAAAAGAATAAATTGCTAGGAATAAATGTACAGTGAAATAGTAAAACATTGCTAAAAACAAAGAATAACTGGAAAGTTACCCTGTTTTCTAAGGTAGGAAAAGTTTATGTTAAGATAACAATATTACCCAAAGCACTCTACAGTGTCAACACAATCCTTATCAGTCTTCTAGCAGTCTTATTTGTAGAAGTGGAAAAATTGATCTCAAATTCATATGGAATTTCCAGGGACCCTTCATAACCAAAACAATCTTGAAAAAGAACAATAATTTTGGAGGACTCACACTGTCTGGATTACAGAATTGACTACAAACTCACAGTAGTGAAAGCAGTAGTAATGGTTCCCTGCTTTCTGGTTGCCTTGTCTTGAACTGATTTTCTCTGCCATGCTCTTCTACTATGATGTTCTGCCTCACTCAGGGCCCAGAGCTTTGGAATTGGTCAACCATGGACTGAACCCCTGAAACCTTCTGGATTCTGGCAAGTCCAACACCAAGGGGGATTTCATCTGGCAAAGTCTTTCATATTGCATCATCCCATGGCAAAAGGCATGTCGAAGAGCAAGAGAGGGAGAGAGAGAACTTCTGCCTACATCTCTGCAACTGTCCTCCTGAGATGTTGGTGGGGCAATTTTACTCTCATTTTCTCCTACTACTGCCACTTTACACAAGCCAATAGGCACTATTGACATGACATAGAATACCGCATGCTTATTAATTCAGAGCTGTACTGCATTAGCCATGGATCCACCATTGCCCTTCGGAGATTGTTTTATTCCCTGGGAGATGTATTCCCCAAGCCTTAACCCTATATCTTCTATATTTGAGTGTGCTGAAACTAAACTCCATGTTTAAATGCTCTATGAATCAAAGAAGGAAAAAAAAAACAGTGTACTGATATAAGTATAGGCATGGCATATAGGCCAATGAGGGAGAGCAAGGAAGGAGAACAGAAGGAAAGAAAAGAGAAAAAGAAGGAAAAAAATTGAATTTCCTAAAAATTAAGAGTTGTGTGCATCAAAGGGTGTTATGAAGAAAGTAAAGAGACAACCTACAGAATTGTGACAAGGGTTTAATATCCAGGATATATAAAGAACTCCTAACTTAACAGAAATACATAATCAGACATTTTTCCAAAGAAGGTATAAATATGGCCAACAAACATGAAAAGATATTTAATATATCAATCATAAAGGAAATGCAAATCAAAACCACTAGGTACTATTTCACACTAGAAACATAACAAAAAATGGGAAGTGAGTTTTGATGAGGATGTGGGGAAATCAGAACCCTTGCACATTGCTGGTGGAAATGTAAAATGTTACAGCTACTGTGAAAAACAGTTCCTCAAAGGCTAAATATAGAATTATACATGACACAGCAGTTCTACTCCAAAAGAACTGAAAACAGGGATTCTACATACTTGGACAGTAATGTTTATTGCAGGATTATATGTAATAGCCCAAACAAGGAAACAGTCCAAGTGTCTATTAACAGATGAAAGTATAAGAAACTATGCTATTGCCATACAGTGGAATACTATTCAGACATAAAAATTAAGTTCTGCTATATGCTATAACATGGATGAACCTTGAAAATGATAGCTAAATGAGATAAGCCAAATTCACATGGACAAATATATTACTTTTGAGTAGGCAAATTCATAGAGACAGAAAGTAGATTAGAAGTTACCAGCAACAGGAATGAGGAAATTAGTTATTGTTTAATTGTTAGAATCTTGAAGATGACAAAAATGTTTTGGAAATAGTGGTGATGTTTATATAACACTGTGAAATAATAAATAATAATAATAATAAATAATGCCCATGAATTGTACACAGTTGTTAAAAATGGCAAAATTTATCCTGTATACGCTATCCTGTATTCAGCAAAGTAGCAGGACACAAAATTAACAACCATAAGTAAGTCACATTCCTATACTCCAATGATGAATCTGCTGAAAAAGAAGTTAGGAAAACTATCCCATTCACAGTAACCTCAAAAAAAAAAAAAAAAACTTAGGAAACAGTTTTTAATAAAATATGTGAAGGACTTCTGCAGTGAAAATTATAGAACTCTAAAACAAGATATTTGATAAATACCTTAGAAGATGGAAAGACTTCCTATATTCTTGCATAGGTAGAATTAATATTGTCAAAATGGCCATACTACCAAAAGTGGTATACAGATTCAATGCAGTTCCCATCAAAATTCCAATGATGTTCTTCATATAAATAGAAAAAGCAATCATAAAATTCATTTGAAAAAATAAGAGACCCAAAATAACCAAAGCAATCCTTATCAAGAAAAGTGAAGAAGGAGGTATCACAATATCTGATCTTAAATTATACTACAGACGATAGTAACACAAACAGCATGCATTAAGACCAGTGGAATAGAATAGAAGTCACAGAGACAAACCCACACAAATATAATTACCTCATTCTAACACAATATCTGATCTTAAATTATACTATAGACGATAGTAACACAAACAGCAGGCATTAAGACCAGTGGAATAGAATAGAAGTCACAGAGACAAACCCACACAAATATAATTACCTCATTCTAACAAAGGTGCCAAAAATATACATTAGAGAAAAAAAACAGCCCTTTAACAAGTGGTGCTAGGAAAACTGGAAATCCAAATGTAGCAGTGTGAAATTTAACCCCTATCTCTCATCCTGCACAAAACTCAAAGTGGATCAAAGACATAGGATTTAGACCAGAATCCCTGCACCTACTAGAAGAAAATGTAGGCCCAACACGCCAACATATCAGTTCAGGAACTGACTTCCTTAACAAGACTCCTAAAGCACAAAAAGTAAAATAAAAATCAATAAATAGGATGGTATCAAATTAAAAAAGGCAAAGGAACTAAAAAGACATTTCTTAAAAGAGGAAATACAAATGGTCAACAGATATATGAAAAACATGTTCAACATCTCTAGCAATTAAAGAAATGCAAATTAAAACTACACTGAGATTTCATCTTACTCCAGTCAGAATGGTAGTTATCAAGAATACAAGTACCAATAAGTATTGGTGAGGATGTGGGGAAAAGGGTACACAAATACATTGCCAGTGAGACTGCAAATTGGTATAACCACTCTGAAAGGCAATATGGAGATTCTGTAGAAAAGGAACTACCATTTGACCCAGCTGTCCCTCTCCTTAGAATATATACAAATGATTTAAAATCAGCATACAGTGACACAGTCACATCAATATTTATAGCAGTTCAATTCACAATAGCTAAACTATAAAGCCAACCTAAGTGCCCTTCAACAGATGGCTGGATAAATTAGGGATAATGTTATTAGAATGATGAACAAGTAAGAAGAGAGTTAAAAACTCATGACCACTGGCTTCCTATATTTCTAAGCATATTCATTTCTTGCCTTTCTAAATCTAGTTTCCTCTGTTGCATTTGGGTTTTTTAATTTAGGACTGATACTCAGAATTATAAACCTATTAATATGTCTAAGAGCTGGGGTTGTAACTCAATGTTAGAGTGCTTGCCTGTTTGCCTATCATGCTTGAGGCCCTGGTTCTGATTTCTATCACTGTAACAGGAAAAATAAAAAGAAAGTAAGAGAGAAAGAGAATCTAAAGTTTTATTAGTCTAAGAAAAATTTTGTCCTGGTCGACAGTTTGATATACTTTCAAATCTTATGCATGCACTTAAATACTTTCATTAAGTTTCAATACACTCTGGAAAATATTAGTATCATTTTTATTACAAAATGCTTTCTTTTCTGTATCACTCAGAAATTATTAAAAGTAGATAATCTAAATTTTATTAAAAATCGAACATTATTCATTGAAAATATTTCTAACAATGGGAATAAAATAAGTATTACTTTAAAACACTATTATTTAATATTCGAGTACAGATACTATTGGTCTAGTTATAGCAGTTGGGGAGCTATAAATTCACTTTTCTTTATGTGTGCTTAAAATATCTCTGAGAGGACATTCAAACTAATTATTGTATATTTTACTTTTTATGTTTGTATCAAATTGTTTCATGTTAAAAGCAAAGAAGATAATTTGATTTCATAAATGAAATAAATTTGTTAAATTTTCATTAGACTCTTTGTTCTTGGTCTTTATTTTGAATGTCATGCCCAAGAACAGTTTTAACAGTTTTTTAACAGTTATTCAGCAATGGTCTTTACTTACAAATTACAGTGAAAACTCTCATAATGGCATGATTTTTTTTTTTAGGTTAGTGTCCCAAAAATGAAACATAAGCCAACCAGACAACAGAAGAAAGTAGCAAAAGGGTATTCCTCCCCAGAGCCTGATATCCAAGATTCATCTGGTAGTGAAGGTAAAACTATTTATTGCATACTATTCACTATGAGTATATAATTTAAAAATATATATATACTATTATACAATGTTGATATACGAAAATAGTTTTTCAAATTAACTCAGGAAGGGCTGGGGTTGTAGCTCAGCGGTAGAGCTCTTGCCTAGCACGTGCAGGGCCCTGGGTTTGATCCTCAGCACCACATAAAAATAAATAAATAAAAATAAAAGCATTGTGTCCAACTACAACTAAAAAACAAATATTAAAAAAATAGCCTTATAGTCTTAAAAAAAAAAAACAAATTAACTCAGGAAGATAATGTAAGAGTTTTGGTAGATGCAGGATAGGGTCTAAAAGCTATTCTAGATCATAGCTAAGTTACATGAAGAGGCCACAAGGCAAAGGCATGGGAAATGTAAAAAGGGAAGTCATATGAATAAGAACCACACTATAATGGTAGCTCCTAGGCCTTGTTAGCTTCTTAAAAATTATTGATAGTTTCCTAAATTGGATTCAGAAAGCATTGTTTTTGAGCTTTAAGCTCAATTCTATGCTTCAAAAAACTTTCTCATTCCTTGAGTAAGTTAGTGTTTAAAAAGTAACATACAAGTAAAAACACAGCTCTGTAAAAAGTTATAAACTGTGAGATTAAATTGTCTGATTTTTTTTCCAATCAGACAATGTGTAAATTGTCTTCAACAACATAAAGATACAATTAAGAAAGGATCAAGGTAATACCCTAGATATTATGGTAAAATTAAACTTTAAGCAATAATCTCTCATGAATTTACACTAAGCTGAAGAACTTATTTTTACCAACAGAAATAACACTAGAGGTAAATAACAATACATATCAGGAAATTGGATGGTAAGTGAGAGTGTCTAAAGGAGCTTAATTCAATTGAGGGAAGGTTCTTCAAAAACCCTGATGAACTATTAGGGTTTCTAATGGATTATAGCAAACTAAACTTGGAACATGGAATAGGAGCAACATACTGAAATTATAGAGGAATAAAATGAAAAAAGTTATATAAGCAGGAGTCATGGTACCACTGTGCTAAGTAAAAGGTACTATTAGTTATAGTGTTTGTTATTCATAGTTAATTAGAAAAGAAACTGAGGCACAGACAGGTTAACCTGCTCAAAGTCATTATCTACCCTAAAAGTGGCGGGGGGGGGCATTTGGAGAGGTATTTGCAGACGTTTGGCTTCTTTTTTTTTTTTTTTTACTTTTTGGCACTGAGGATTGAACCCAGGGGAAGTTTACCACCAAGATACATCCCCACTCCTTTCTTTAAATTTTGAGACAGGGTCTCCTTAAGTTGCTGAGGGCCTCACTAAATTGCTGAGGTTAGCCTTGAACTTGCAATGCTCCTTCCTCGTCTCTGAAGTCATTGGGATTACAGTCGTGCTCCACCACACCCAGCTATTTAGACTTCTTAATGGGCTCTCTTATCCACATTATATTACCTATAATATGTTAGCTGGCATTTATTGAATAAACACACGTTGCAAAAACCATGTGAAGTTTAGGTCTTATTATTGCTATGTGAAAAATGAGAAAGCTGAGACATAGAGGTTAAGATCTTTACAAAAATGGAAAGGAAGGAATGGGTATAAGAAGGAATTGGAAATGACCAAATACAGCTTGCTGATTGGCAACAGATATGTGTAGAAGAGGTATCAAAACTGACTAAAGAGGTTAAAGTTTGGGTAACTAGGACAATGAAGATAACATTAACAATAAAATATTGGAAAGGGCCTCAAAAAGCTGACTTTTTCAGATGTAGGCAAATGGGTAAGGGACACAAGAGTAATACCTTCCCAAAATTAATACACATGAATGAATTGTTTTTGCCAGTTTTTTATTTAAATATTTTTTGAGTTGTCGATGGACTTTTATATGTGGTGCTGAGAATCAAACACAGTGCCTCACACATGCTAGGCAAGTGCCCTACCACTGAGCCACAACCCCAGCCCTATTTTTGCCAGTTTTAATGAGTTAAAAAATAAAACTGATGCTATTGAAAAATTTGATTTGTGGTTACTTTAAATTTGGTTGTTGTACTCTAATAAAATGATGTGCTTGAGACTTCAAAATGCAGAATATTAGTTTTATTATGCTCATGTCTAAACTACAAAACTAATGCCTAGGAAAATGTTTATTACATCAGAATCATTAAGTTTAACTATAGATTGTACTTATGATTACAACTTCATTCTAAATGTCTTTTAGCTCAATCTGTAAAACCAAGTACACGAAGAAAGAAAGGGATAGAACTGGGAGACATTCAAAGTTCCATCGAATCTATAAAACAAACACAGGAAGAAATTAAAAGGTAATATATGGACAGTGGCTGGTCATTTGAGTCCACAAGAATAAAGAACTCTATTACATAGGAAATCAGATGCAAACTATATTTTTATAACTTTGCTAAGCTAGAATAGAACTTTGGGCTCTAATTACCTGGTGTCTGAACCTATGAAATTCTTTTATCATTAAATACTGAAAAGGGGACCCTCTTTTCCCCCCACTCTGTGAATATAAAATTGGAATCACTTCATTTTACTACTGTAGCATGCTAGATTGTTTCTGAGAAAGTTATCAAAGGCTTTCTTCTCTAGTCTCCTTTGTGCATGGCTAATATTTAATTGGAATGCACCACTTGTTACAAGATAGAAATACTTACGTGGTAAACAGTCACTGCCCTGAGATCTTTTGAGTGTTCCTCTTGTAGTTGCAGACTCCTCCTCTACGTTCTACCCTATGATCCAGTAAGGCTAACATGCATTCATGCTATATCAGTTTTTAAAATGTTTAATATTAATTATCTCATCTATGTTTGTGCATTCAGAACTCTGTGCTAGATGCACGCTCTGGATAAAAAACATTTTCTCTGTTCTTGGAGATCTTATGGCTTGTGTTTAGTTAGCATTTTCATCTACAGCTCACCCTCTGCACTTAACCCATGCTCTAGTTCTACAAAGCTGCTCACATCTCCCAGAATGTACTGTGCTTTCTCATCTTTGGACCTTTGCCCCCACTGAGTCCTCATCTGAGATTGCTCTTCTTCCCACCTTGCTCATCAAGAAAATCTCTTTTTATCCTTCAGAATTAAATTCAAATAACACCCTTTTTGTGCCCTTTCTAATCACTCACCCTGCCCTGTAGAGTTAATAAATCCCTTAGCTCAGCTTGTATAGCTCCCTCTACATATTCTTTTGAGCATCTAAGTGCATGCATTGATCTATGAGCTCCTTTAGAGCAAGGAGCATATCTTAATGCATCTTGAGTATTAACTCTTATATGAAATGTTAACATTTCCTAATTTAATTATATTTGTAAATTAATTAGCCTATTTGTTCTGCCTCCTTTTTTGCTTTTTTTTAAAAATCTTTTTTAGCTATATATGGAAACAATATCTTTAATTTTATTTATTTTTATGTGGTGCTGAGGATCCAACTGAGTGCCTTACATGTACTAGTCAAGTACTCTACCACAGGGCTACAACTCCTACTCCCCATCCTTTCATTCTTTACACTGGTAAAACACTTGGATAGCAGAAGTCCAGTAAACAAAATGTGTTTCACTAATTGGGTGTTTTTATCCAGAAGCATTTAAGGTGGTATGAGGATATTGTGAACACATTTCATGACTAAATTAACATTTTGTTTTGTTAGCATACAAAAAGCATATAAAGAGTTCTTTATTTGGGAAGTATTATGAAATCTGGTGTATTATTTTTTTCTGTGGAATTTAGTAATTTTTTCCTGCCCTTACCCCCGTTTCCCTAAAATAAAGATTAAAAAAAAACCTTAGTGAGACAACTGTTAGCAAAATTTTTGTTTTAAAATCACTATCAAAACAGAGAAGGTGATTATGTTTCCATATCATCAAAACTTGACAGGTTTAATGTATCATTAGGTTATGTGTTTGGTACAATGTGGAATTTAGATAGACAGAGTCTAATAAAGGCTTCACATAGCATCATCAAGTCCTTGTTCTGTAGTAATTAATTACTTTAGATCATGTAATTAAATGTTTTGTCATTGTATAGTACCAAATTTGAGTTTTGTGCTGACATTTCTGGAAAATCCTTATAAAATTTATTGTTGCTTCTTTTTGTAGAAATATTATGGCTCTTCGAAATCATTTAGTTTCAAGCACACCTGCCGCGGATTATTTTCTGCAACAAAAAGAATACTTCATCATCATTTTCCTCCTGATTTTGCTTCAAGTCATAATAAACTTCATGTTTAAGTAGAAGTTCTCTACAGTTGAATCAGTGAACTAGAAAGATCAAATTTGGCCTGGGACCAGTGTTCAAGTTGCTTTGGTCTTTAATTAAACATCACAATATTTCTAAGACAAAAAATCTAGGAGAAAAATGTAGAGGTGTCTACCTTTCGTATCTTTTATCCTTAACCTGAAACAAGAGCTATCCTGTTTGGTTATTATAGTGAGCTATATGTTAAGTGCCAGGACATTTCTAGCTTTTGTGAGAATGTGTCTACATGTGAGTATATTAAATCACATGTATACATAGCTGTCTCTTATGTACTCTTACCTGACAGTAGTCTTTGTGTTCTATAGTATGTTTTGAGATATAATGTTAACATTGTTCATAACAAAAATGTTATCAAGCTTAAAAATGTATGTATAGTAATCTATTTTATTCATTAAACAGGCACAAAATTTTATCAAGTAATTAGACTGGGGAATGATGGAATAATAGACATAAGTAATTCAGTACACAATACTGTTAAAATTATTTCCAAAGTACCCAGTTCAATTATCTCCTTACAAACAGCAAGAAAAAAAGTATGAATGGTCAAAATTAACATATTTAAAGAGACAGGTGGCAAATTTTTTAAGTTTACACAATATTTTTTAATCCCTATAATTTAATATTTGTAGATACAGGTATATAGTACTTGTGTGTATATCAATATAAAAAAACTGGTATAAAACTACTATTAATTGTAATACCATAACCTTGCACACTTGCTGAAAAAGTGTGATCAAAATTTATTGCTTTTCTTTTTATGTTTTAAGTCACCTGGTCCATAACATAGGACCAGGCAAATACTAGATACAAATACTAGACATGTTCATAGGGCATATGAAATGCTGATAATTCATGTTTTTTCTCTAGCTTTCATTTAGAACCTAGTGTATTCAGTGAATAAATAGAATAGAAAAAATTAGAATTTTTATTTTATTTCAAAAGCCAAAAAGAAAGACAAAGGAAGGCCTGTTGTGGTGGCCTTTAATGTGTACATTAAAATTGGTTTCCTTAAAATGTGCAATAAGTTGAGCATCTAAGAATACCAATTTCTAAGTTTAATTGTTTATTATTACCCTCACACCCCTGTTCTTAGTAATTTCATTCTGTGGCAAAACCATAGTTCATTAAGATTCCTCCTTGTTCAGGCTCAGGCAGATTTTTTTTTAAGTTTCTTTGCATATTTCTTCAGTTCAATATTTTGACTTTGTGTGTTCACATAAATATTTATAGTCCTCAAAAACAATTTTTTCAAAGGCAGTTCAGTTTAGGAACTTGTTGTCCTAAAATATATCTTAGAATCCTAAAAGTATAGAGTTTTAAATGGTTATTAAAATGAAAATAAAGATCAAAACGAACAACTATTTGGTTACAAATAAGACATGAAAGACACTAGTAAAATTACAATTTTTGTTATGCATAAATATAAAGTCAAGGGATGATTGCTAAATTACAGAAATTAAAAATAATAAAATCTACTTTTTTTCCCCTAATCAATAAAACCAGGTATCTTAAGTATTAGGTTTCTGCAAAGAGCTATTTTCCATGTAATGTTGGTAAAACAATGTTGTATTCTGTATGTACTCATGAAAATATTTTTAAATTGATAACATCATAAATAAGATGCACCTGTATCCAGTATTTTCATGACTATAAGAACAAGTGGATTTGGGTTATATTTCATATTTGTTGATATTTTTATATTCATATTCTATTACCAATATTATGCTCAACTGCCTATTCATCAACATGTAACATTTTGTAAATATTGTACAATTCGATTTTTTAAGGTTTAAATTAGTATTAATTTATATTATATATAATTGATTGGCTGATCATGAAAGTCATTTCATCATTTAAACCTGAAAACTTAAAAATTGTTGTTGGTGACCTGCCTTAGGGTCTTATCCACTTGCATGTTATTTTCATTTGGTCTAAATATTGTTTTATTTGTATATCTTCTAAGACTGGAAAGGTAACTATTTTATTTTTTTAATTTCTCTTTAGGGCAGATATTGTGAGTTCATACCCAAGGAGTCAAAAATTAAAGAACAGGGTTATTCATGACTGTTTCTTATATACTAAAAGCATATATCTAATCTAATTGTCCTGTTATGCTTTTAGTTCTGTGAGTTCCTTTCTATGAACTGAACACAAAACTCAGGAATTGGTGGCTTAATTTTAGATCAGTACTTATACTAGACTTAGTATGTGAATTCTTTAAACTCCATAATTTACTCTGTATTTAGCCATAATATGTAATTGACTTTGAATGTTCTTACCTAAGAGTACTCTTTCTTCACACATGAATTCATGGATTTAGTTTGCAATTGTCTGAGAGGCTCATGATGATTTCCAGGATATATGACTTTATAACCAGTTTTATTATCAAAAATTTTCTCAAATGAAATTTAGATAAGTAATAATTATTGACATACACATTTTTAGTTGTTAAATGTACTATATCTTCAGCTATCTACCATTTAGTGACATGTTGTTGGGTAGGAAAAGACACAAAACAGGGCATGTGAAATGTTGTTACAGTAGATATTTTACTTATATTTCATATCAGCACTTTTTTTGTATCACTTATAAAGGTACAGTGTAATCTTTGTTACAGCTCAGTTGACAACTGCATTCCATTGAAAAGTTGGCCTTGTAAAATACAATCCTCATTTAATATTCATGCTTTTGTGCCTTTAAGAAAATATTTTTTGTCATTTTTGTGTTACAGAACTATTATATGATTCAAAGTGTTTATAGGCTTACTTGTCATAAAAGGGTCATTTTCTGTCATTTTATTTCCTTTTTATATAGGTGAAGTATATTTAAACAGTAATGCTGTACTTTTATAAGGGTTTGTCTACTTAACTATTTCAAAATATTCTTATTCTCAGACATCACTGAAGTAGACTTGTCAGATTATTCTGAGTAGAAAACAGTGCCTTTTTGATGGAATTCACACTGTTGGGTATCAACTTGTGCCATATACACAGAATTTTGTGGAAGGCAGTTTTAACTTTTTGAAGAATATCTTAGTCTAAATTTAAGAAAATGTATAAAATTCCATTTTTTCCAATGCTTATCATATCTAATGGGCAATGAAGTTTTGTTCTTTTGTTGAAATACAGTGATGACACTACTGATGAGCCATACATGAGACACAGATTGTTTTGAATTATGTTAAATATATAGAAATAAAATATTAGCATTGATGTCAGTTTTTCCAATTTGAACTAATGGGAGAATTCCCACAAAAATCAGTGAGTTTACAATTCAACATCTGTTGTATTTGACTAAGTGTAAGAGATTCTTTAAATTGTATAACCTGCCACTATTATGTAATTTGTCTTCATTTTATTCTACCTATTGTCTGAGTTTAACATATTTAATTTACTTTTTGTTACTCTTAACATACTATTTTGTTACAGTTTTTAACTGAAGGTGGACTGTTAAAATTGTATAGGACCAGTGTCTTATTAATGTGATTAACATATTTAGAAAAGCCACAAGAAACCCATGACAAAAATGAATGTGAATATGCTTTCTAAAATATTTGGGAAAATTTCTTTCTGCATTTATCATGAAAAATTATTTTAGTATTACAATATTGAAATTCTTCATTTAAAGAAAAATGCCATGAAACATTTGAACTGATAGGCCACAAAATTTAGGGTTTTTTCCACTTTTTAGCATGGTAAATGTACATTTAAGTTAAAAATCCTGTTTTATGGCCATTTATAAATTTAAGCACTACCACTGGTCAGTTTTGTATGATAGAATAACAGTATGTTATCTGCAGTGTAAGTATAGCACACTGTCAAATTCTTTTCCTTAAGGTGCATAGTAAATGTACAGATAGTCTTAGGCTACCGTTTTGTAATGTATTACATTTCTAATCTATTATTCCTAACCTGTTATACATGTTTGCTGAGAGAAAAGAATTGAATTTTTCTAATGATCTGTAAAATTATGCTAACTTCTACAAGTAGGTATTCTAAATAAAATTTTTAAAAAGAGCAAACTGGTCAAATGACTTTTAATATGTAGTGAATAAATTTGTCCTAATTTATTTTGTGGAAGTAGTTGCAGGAGATGGGGAAAGGATTGAACAGGGAATGAATGAAGGATTCAATTAAGATTGAATCCCTAATATATGCTTTTTTTGGTACTTTATACTCCTCCTTTTTCAATCCTCTTAACAACCCTACGTGGAAGTTAGCGAGATTTTATACAGAAGACTCAAGAATTAAGTTAAATGACTCTAAAAACTACACAATAAATTGAGTGATAGCATATTCTTACTGTAAGGAAAAAAATCACAAGCTTGTATCAATGTCTATAGTGTAAACTTAAATAGGACTCTGGTTTTAATACTTGTTTGAAATAGTCCACTATTTGAAACTATATTGAGTAATATTACCAACTCCTTTTTGATGACTAGAACCAGGAAGAGACAAAAAATGAATTTTACTATTTAATATATATATAATTGTAGATGGACACAATACCTTTGGTTTTTTTGTTGTTGTTTGTTTTTTGTTTTGTTTTTTGAGAGAGAATTTTTAAATATTTTTTAGTTTTCGGTGGACACAACATCTTTATTTTATTTGTATGTGGTGCTGAGGATCGAACCCAGCGGGACGTGACAGGCAAGCAGCTACCGCTTAAGCCACATCTCCAGCCCCCTTTGTTTTTATGTGGTGCTGAGGATCAAACCCAGTGCCTCCCAAGTGCAGGCTTGCTCTCTACTGCTGAGCCACGACCCCAGCCTTGAATCTTACTATTATAACAGTAATTTTCTCAAATCATCTACTAGTCCATAATGAATCAATAATGACTTCCTCTCTGATTTTTTTGCCGTTTCTCCCACTCCTCTCCCCATTCTCTCCTATTTTAGGATCCAATTGCTCTTGCTGTCTTGGTCTATATTAACTGTGGGGTTAGGATGCATAGTTTTCCATTCTGTGCGCAGGATCAAAGGGAGAGGGAAACAACTCCATATTCAACGAAACATCTACAAGATTATTTTCCTCATAGTATTGACGTTTTGAATCTAATAGTGTTGTGCTATTATGCTAATTGTATTTTCTGTGTCTTTCAAACCCTTTCTTGTGGGAATACTGGGCCAGAAAAAGTGGTGATCCCACATGGGAATTTGTGGGTATACTGTATGAGCACTTACTCTACGCTAGGAACTATGCAAAGTGCTTTCTAAACATTCTCCACCTCCGTAAAACCTTATTTTTCTTTTTTGTCTCTCCATTTTATGACGGGAAAAGCAAGGATTCAAGATATTACTTGCTGAATGTCACAACTGAGTAAATGACAGAGCAAACCCAGATCTGAACCCAAACAAATCCCTGTTAATATCTAAAACAGTACACTGTTCTGCCTTTGGATTGTATCCAAAAGGCCAATGTGTGTTGAAACGATGTAATAAATCTGAGTCCATCACTTCTGGAAAAAAAAAAAAGAAAAAAGGTTAAATTGTAGTTAGTGGCTGGTTTTGTGCCTGACACGAAATGTGGAAAGCCCCGGGGAAGACCTAAAAGGTAAAACTCTTGGCCCAAACCAGGCCCTCCCTATCTGTCCTGCATGCCGAAGCAGCCTTCGCAATGGGAAGCAGAGCAAATAATGCATATGGACAGAATATGCGTGAATAACAGGCACAGGTTTTGCCAGGGCACAGGCAGTTTATGGCGGGAGAGTGCGAGAGAATCAAAGGAGTTGAACTTGCAGCGCCTGTTCTCTCTGTCACTCAGCCCTTTTGACGAGTACATTTCGGAAGGAAGGTTTCCGGTGACCCAACTACGTAGGAAGGCAAAACTTTCCGCCTAGCGAGACGAACTGCAGCCCATTCGCTCACCCCAGAAGCCCACCTGCCGCGGCTTCCGACTCGAGCGCCTGGTTTCCTGTTTTCTTCCCGCCTTTTCCGTTTCCGGCCGCGCCTCAAGCTCTTTGGTCCGACCCGCTGTTCCTCCTGCTGGCCAAGGAAAGCCCTTCAGATCCTAAGTTCCATGGCTGCGGCGGGGTCTGTGAAGGTGGCGTTACAGGTGGTGGAGGTGCTGGAAACCATCGTGAGCCGCTGCGTAGGGCCCGAGGGCCGGCAGGTTTTGTGTACGAAGCCCACCGGCGAGGTAATGCTCAGCCGGGATGGAGGCCGCCTCCTGGGGGCGCTGCACATAGAGCATCCCATAGCCAGGTATGGGCGTCCCGCCCTCCTGCCCAAAGTTAGGCCCTCCACAGGGTCTCCTTGACTCATGTCCCATCCTAAGGCTGTGTACCTAGAAAAATGAACTCGATTGAGACCAGCGTATGCTCGGGGTTTGGGCGCTGCCCAGAGGAGTGTTTGTCAACTTCCAAGAATCTGGAGTTGGGAGTAGAACAAAATAACTTTTAATCAGGGACAGTATTCTTTTGTCTATAACAATGAAAACAACTTACAACTTGATTCCAAAGCCAGTTTTCTGAAAATCTGATTTTTCTTCTTTTTATTTGTGCAGGATTGTATTGACATGTGTCTCCAGTCATCTCAAAAAAACAGGAGATGGTGCTAAAACATTCATTATCTTTCTTTGCCATTTACTCAGAGGACTTCATGCAATCTCAGAAAAAGAGAAGAATTCTTTGATTTCTGACAATTTTCAGACCCATGAAAGACATTGGAAAAATTGTTGTCAGTGGAAATGTATTTCCCAAGCTCTGCTAATGTTTCAGACACAAATATTAGACTGTATTATGGACCAATACTTAAGTAGACACTTTCTTTCCATCTTTTCTTCATCTGCTAAAGAGAGAACGTTGTGTAGGAGCTCTTTAGAATTATTGTTAGAAGCGTATTTTTGTGGAAGAGTGGGAAGAAATAACCACAGATTTATTTCACAGTTGATGTGTGACTACTTTTTCAAGTGTATGACTTGTACAAGTGAGACTGAAGTATTCGAGTTAGTGGATGACTGTTTTATAGAGCTGAACGTTGGGGTCACTGGCCTTCCTGTTTCAGATTCTAGGATCATAGATGGGCTTTTGCTTCACAGAGATTTTTCTATTTACTGCCCAGTAGATGGTGACATAAGAATGGTGATAGTAACAGAAATCATTCAGCCTCTTTTTTCAACTTCTGGATCAGAATTTATTCTAAGTTCAGAAGCACAATTTCAGACATCTCAGTTTTGGATTATGGAAAGGACAAAAGCAATAATGAAACATTTGCATAGTCAGAATGTAAAATTGCTCCTATCTAGTGTGAAGCAACCAGATTTAGTTATATATTATGCAGGCCTGAGTGGCATATCAGTGGTGGAGTGTTTATCATCAGAAGAAGTTTCTCTTATCCAAAGGATCATTGGTATCTCTCCATTTGTATTACCAGAGGCCTCTTCATGGTATGAAATTTCTAACACTGCTTTGGTGAAATTTTGTAAACCTTTTATTCTTAGATCCAAAAGGTATGTTCATCTTGGCTTGATTAGCACATGTACATTTATACCACACTGTATAGTTCTTTGTGGACCAGTGCAGGGTTTGGTTGAACAACACGAGAGTGCTTTACATGGAGCATTCAAAATGCTTCGGCAGTTATTTAAAGACCTTGATCTAAATTATGTAATACAAGCCAGTGACCAAAATGACACATCAAGTCCTCTTATTCACAAATATAGTAGAGAAAGTAGTCAGTTACCTGAAATTAGTAATCACTCCATACAAAGGCCATATCAAGATATAGTTGTAAAGAATGGAGGTGAATTGGAAAAAACTCAGGCATATTTAAAAGTATATTCAAATTTGGTAATTTCAAGTAGAGGATTAGAAACACATATTCCATGTTCAACACTAAAACTGACACCAACAAATACTTTCCAAATAGATGATACACTAAAGTGTTTGTCTCCAGAAAAAAACAGAATAATTGATGACTATGAACTTGAACTATTAGTTGATAATAATTTAACTGGTAATCCTACAACTGAAAACACTAGAATAGAAATTTCTTATGAAAATTTACAAGTTACAAAAATTGATAGAACAGGGAGCAAGTTACCAGTGAGATATAAGTCATTGGATTTGTGTACTTCCCAGAGTTACCATTCCTCATCTGTGCCAGCAGGTAGTGTTTTGCCAGTGGGTGGTAATTTTGAGATTTTGTTACATTACTATCTTCTCAACTATGCCAAAACATGCCAGCCATCAGAAGAGGCCATGGTTAGTACATTAATTGCTAATGCACTGTTAGGCATTCCAAAAATCCTTTTTAAGGCTAAGAAAGTAAATTACAGCTTCCCACAAATGTATTTGAGAACTCTCCATGCACTGCAAACCAATCAACTCATGGTAAGCAGTCAGGAGGGTTTGGAATCAGTAATTGGTAAATACCAGTTGCTAACTTCCGTTCTTCAGTGTTTGACAAAAATATTAACCATTGATCTGGTGATCAATATCAAGAGGCAACCTCAGAAAATTTATGATCAAGATTCAGAAGATGAACTTTAATATTGGACTTTTTTGTTAATCAACTTTTAATCCAGCTCAAGGCGTAAAGTAAAGCAGGCATGTAACTACTCATTCTCATTCAGTTCACTCTATTAGGAAAACAGAATAACTTCATAAGTTTTTTTTAAAGAATATACTAAAGTCATCAGACCATTCAGATGCAAATATTAAATTACTTTGTGGAACTAAACTAAGGCAGAAATGGAGTTCCAGCTAAATGTGTCTCTTTCCCCTTACATTTCTCTGTATCTCAGCTCTGTATTATTCTTTTTAAAGGAGTGTATTTCTTTAGAGTTTTCACTTCTGAATTTTTCTCTATTCTCTTTCCCCTTCCTATATTTGTTTCATAGAATCAATTTCAAATTTAGAAGGGATCTTCAAATGCTACCTTACTTTAATTTTTTGTAAACAACATGTAAATGTTATTTACTGCAATTAAAATAATTTTATGTACTCATAATTTGTAAAGCAGTAAGTAAAAGTCACAGTTGTCCTTTTAAAAGGATACAAATAAAATTAGGTTTAATTTCATGTGCCACTTGATTAATTTCTATTTTATTTGGAGAAACTTGGGTTTTCACCACTCATGCACCTTTGAACATGTTACCAGGAATAGAATCATGCAGTGAAAATGTGATTTTCTTTATGTAATTAAAAATTACATCTAGAGATGTAGCTCAGTGGTAAAGCCCTTGTCTGCCATGGGTGAGGCCCTAGACTTAATCCCCATCACCACAAAAAAAAATTAATACCAAAAAGATATGAAATCCATACTGTGGTTTTCTTCTGCCTCTTAAGAACTTGGGTTTTCTTGTATTTGCTGTATACATGGAGTAAGTAGTAACAAATAATTCTATAGTTATTCCTAATTCAAATATACAAATCCTTAATTTTATTGTAAAAGCTTTTGAATAAAAACAGTACTATGAAGTAGCTGTGTATACATACAGTATCCTTTTACTAGTTCTTTGTGACACCCAAAAGACAGTGCTTTGTTTATTCTGAGTATTCAGAAGTACTTGTGAAATAGAACAGTGTTAATTTGTTCCCCTAAGTACATGTTTCTGGTGTATTTATTCAGAAAATTCTTACTAAGTGCTTACTATATGCCAAATGCTATGCTAACTACTGAATGAACTGTGCCATCATGTAGTTTTCATCAAAGGTTAATGGATAATGTGACACTATTTTGGGGGGATTAATTGTAGGAAAAATGAAGAGAAGACTTTATAATTGAGTAAGGGGTGACTAATAATATATTTAAAAACCATAGCATCCCACCATGTGGTATTTGTAATCTTTCAAATCTTTCATATTAAATATAGTTGTGTTTTTCAAAGGTTTATGCTATGTGACTTGTTTCATTTCTGTGATTATGGAGAGAATAATCTATTTCTTATATTGTGTTTGTAGATGAATGAATCTGTTAAAACTGCTGCATGATTTTTTTCATGCATATTTTTAAATTGCCTGTTAGGTCATTTTGCTTTGTTTTATTGTTTTAAATACTCTTAAGTCATTGAAGGCATTCAAAGACTGTTCCAGACATGCCCAGTGCTTTACATATGGTAGATATTTAATAGTTATAAATTCAAATAGCTTAGGAGCCCTTTGGTAAGCTGTAACTGGCTCTTCATATGATTGGTATCTGGTCTAATATTTTGCACATAGTAACTATCCAGTAAATGTCTGTTAAGGAGGACCTATTTATTAGATGAATTCATCAATTTATTGGATGAATAATATTATGTTTATAAACTTCCATGGGCAAAAGGGAGAGAAACAGAAAACGTTGGTGAGATCTACTATGCCGCAGTCTGGCTGGGCAAAATAACAGGGTGTGTGGGGGGGCGAGTGACAAGGAACTTGTGAAGGTTGATACAGCAGGATGGGAGTCGCTTTATTGTTGGACAGTAGAGGTATACATACACTTAACTGATTATACACAGCTTAACTTAATTAACATAAACTAGATACAGCAGTCAACCAATAAGGAATCATCATCTTAATGATTACACACAGCTTAACTTAATTGACATAATCTAGACACAGCAATCAGTCATTAAGGAATCTCTATCATCTTAATGGCTCGCTGGCTTTACTTCTCAAACCACTCCCTCTGGCAAAATGCCAGGCGCCATCTTGACTTGTTTATGGACCCTAACACTACTAACAAAGGAATCCTTTTTCTTTTCATTTTAAAAAATCCTTCTGTAATGGTGATAAAGCTCTCATCAGTTATTCTTATTTAAAGAATATTACCAGGAAGTTTACATCACTGCATTAGGTAAGAATACTTTTAAAAATATGAGTACATTTAACTTTTCCCCTCTACCAATTATGGTTTGAGGTGACCTATAATAAGAACAGATAAAACTGGTGAAATCTGAATAAAATTGAAGAATTAGGGTTAAGAAAAATGTGAAGACAAATTAAAATCAGGATCATTTTCTGTTTTCTACTGCTGCATAATGAATAATCCCCAAACTTGGTAGGTTTGAGTCATCCTATTACCTCTCATAGTTCTGAGTCCACCAAGCTTAACCTGACTACTTGCATTGTATTCTCTTGGCTGAGCAGTCAGAAAGGTTAGCTGAGGTTCAGGGAGAATGTGGGCCTCAGCACTCAATGGGAAGAGTGTCCATGTCACATAAGAGCATGTGCGCTAAGATATATTGAGGTAGCTATGTTTGGAAAATACAATCTTGTATACCATGGGAGGGAAAAGAACAAATATGCATTAACTTCTCAGCTGAGATTTTTAGTTTTTTGAAGTTACGTGTCAGTCCACTTTCCTCAAACACATTTTCCCTAATAACTTTATTTTTTCTCACTGATCCAGTATGAGCCACTCTTATCTTCAAAACAATAGGCATTGAACTTGAATATCCTTAAGCTGCTTTAGCCAGAAGACCTATTTAATCATGTTATACAGAAAATGCCATGGTATCTATGTGTCAGATTAAAAAGGAAGGGAAAGTGGAATAATGCATCTTTTTTTTTTCAATAAAACTTCATTTATTTATGGACACTGATAGACTTTAAAGTACATGAATCACAAATATAATTCTCCATTTTATTTTTTCAACCACTGAAAAATGTTAAAAAAAAAACCAAAAAACTATTCTTAGCTTGAAAGCCCCATGAAAACAGGCAGAGGGCCAGATTTGGCCCTCTGGTGGTAGTTTGCTGACTCCTCATTTATTTAGCTCTATTAATGAGCATTTAAACTGTTTCTAGTCTTTTGCTGCAATGTATAATATATATGTCATTTCATGTGTGTTCAATTGTATCTACTTGTGGGGAAAGCTCCAAGAAGTGGGAATGTTGGGCCAGAAGACATATGCAATTGTTATTCTGATATATATTACTAAATTGCCTTCCTATGGGCTGTGCTAGTTGATACACCCACCAGGAATAATGCATCTTGACCCTGAACTTTTATCAGAAATTGTATATCCTCTCCCAAAAGGAGTATGTTTTATCTGTGAATGGGGACATACCTGCAGCTCAGCTTTGATGGCAGTTAAGGACAGGTCCCTATTGGAAGACAAAGAAACAAGTTGGAAGGAGTTTGGATCACTACATGACCTTGTGAAATCATCTCATCAATGTAGGCTACTGCTTTAAAGATTGTTGTGTGAAAGTGGAATTTTTGTGTCATTAGTCTCTATATTTTGGAGATTATGCTGTGGCAATTCTATCTTTATTCCAAAAGGAAAAAACTCTTATATGGCCACATGACTTAATGTTGTGTTTTAAACTATTATTGCAGAAACTTTTTATAAATAAAACTTCTTAAATAAAAGTAGTAAAATAACTCTGTATACCATATTTACTTTTTATTGTTGTTGTTCACAAAGTCCAATGTTGAATATTTAGTTAGAATGGGAGGTTTTTACTTATTGGTGAAAATAGCACATGTTTTTTATTGATTTTTTTCAAAAATAAATGATAGCAGAATGCATTACAATTCTTATTACACATATACAGCACAATTTTTCATATCTCTGGTTGTATATAAAGTATGTTGACACCAATTCGTGTCTTCATACATGTACTGTGGATAATGATGTCCATCACATTCTACCATCCTTGCTACCACCTGCCCCCTCAATTTCCCTCCCACCCCTCTGACCTATCTAGAGTTCATCTATTCCTCCCATGCCCCTGCTCCCTATCCCACTATGAATCAGCCTCCTTATATCAGAGAAAACATTTGTCATTTGTTTTTTGGGGAATGGCTAACTTCACTTAGCATTATCTTCTCCAACGCCATTCATTTACCTGCAAATGCCATGATTTATTCTCTTTTATTGCTGAGTAGAATTCCAATGTGTATATATGCCACATTTTTTATCCATCTACTGAAGGGCATCTGGGTTGTCTCCACAGTTTAGCTATTGTGAATTGTTTTACCTTTCCCACCATATTTGCTTTACTTTTTACAAAGGGGTTTTAAAAGACTTGTTTTATTTAAAATTATTACCTGTACTGTTTGTCATGGTGAAATAATATGTTATTTCAAATCTCAGTGAATGTTTGCTACACGTGTACTTTTTGGATTGGTTAGGAAATCAGAGGAAAATGGTGCTGTTTTCCCCTTCTAAGATGACAATAAATGGAAAGAAGAGAGGTATAAAAAACAGTATGGAGATTCTTAAGAAAACTTGAAATAGAACCACCATTTGACCAGTTATCTCACTCTTCAGTATACACTCAAAGGACTTAAAATCAGCATATTATAGCGATGCAGCCACATTTCAATAGCGAAGAGTCAAGGACAAGATCCTGTGGGGAGACTTAGAAAGAAGATGGAAGGAGCATGGATCCCTAAATGACCATGTGAAGCCATCTCACCTACAACAATGGAAGCACTTTGGGGCTCACAGAAATATTGGGAAAGGTACTGAACTCCACAGAATGTTGGATAAGAACTTGAGCCATTTTTATTTCAATATTACATGTATAACCAGGTGTGGTGGTCCATGCCTATAATCCCAGTTGCTCAAGAGGCTGAAGCAGAAGGATCAAGAGTTCAAAGCCATATTCTGCAACTTAGTGAGACCTTGTCTCAAAATAAAAAAATGGACTGGAGATATGGTTCAGTGGTTAAGTACCCCTGGGTTCAATCTCCAATACCCACCCCGTGTATGTATGTATTTATAGTTATTTATGTTTGTGTGATACTTATATATATGATATATATATGTGATACTTACTATATATATATACATATATATATATATATATATATATAGAGAGAGAGAGAGAGAGAGTGTTATATAGTTTTATAAGACTAGAAAACTTGGGGATAACTAAGATAATAGTTCCTGCTTAGTATTTATGTGAATAAAGAAATAGATGAGAGAATGAGCCTAGTACTGTACAACTTGGTTCAATACCAACATGGTGAAAATCCCAGATGACCAACCCAGACCATGCAGAATAAATGGGGCACAATTATATGATTTCTCTCAGTCTATAGACCCTTAGTATAGAATTTGCTCATATTGGATCATCATTTAGGTCTTGCAAATACTAACTTTCAGCTTCTGTCTCCACCTCTTTCACAGCTACAAAAGGAGCTAAGAAGATGATTTACCCATGCTTGTGAAGTGTTCAATTTGCTTTATTTGACCGTATTTTCAAAAAGCAAGGAAATCTTCCATGAGCTTTGAGGAGCCATCCCTCCAGACTGATGAGTAATTTTATTTCTTGAATGCTTACCTAAGAAACTGAGTGCATGTCACTTTCTGACATAAAAAGTCAGGATGAGGGCTGGGGAAATAGTTCAGTTGGCAAAGTGCTTGCCTCACATGCATGAGGCCCTGGGTTCAATTCTCAGCAACACACACACACACACACACACACACACACACACACACACACACTAGCATGGTGTATCCAAATGTAAGTGACATCATGGCCAAGAGGTAGGTGGGGCCAAATGACAGAGATGCTGGTTTTTAAAGTTGTTTTTTTTTTTTTTTTTTTAATGATTTTTAGGTTTCCTGATTTGTGCTACAGGTCCACATTCGGATGTTCTGTTCTGTTTTACTTTTTTTTTTGGTACCAGGGATTGAACCTAAGGGCACTTAACCCTCGAGCTACATCCCAGGCCCTATTTTATTTTTATTTTGAAACAGGATCACACTAGTTTGCTTACTACCTCACTAAGTTACTGAGGCTGACTTTGAATGATCTTCCTACTTCAGCCTCCTGAGCCTCTGGGATTACAGGCATCTACCACCATAGCTGGCTATTTTGCCTAATTTTTAAATCTGCGAGTCCATTTTCCCCCCTAACAGAAATCTTAGTTTTTGAGATAGCTGTCCATCTACACATGCATCTCAAGGTGGGTATTGAGGGCTTATGATGGGATTTCTGAATTGCCTAGCTAGCCTGTCATAATTAAAATTTATGGAGAAAACTAGAAATCTATGTGGTCATTGTATTGTAACAATGACCACGAGTTGGGTTGGGGGACTCTACAAGAATATAATACTTTTAGTTTTATAGCTATTTATAGTGTCATTTTTGGCAGGCAGTTTCTCAAAGTTTGTTATTTAAAACTTATGTCTCTTTAAGCCAGTCTTAGATCCTGTGTAGGAGATCAAACTGAAAAGATTAAATTCTTGACAGAATTTCTAGAGAAAGGACCCTCCCAAGGTCATCTGATTCTATAGGAATTTGTGTCTTTCATTGTCTTTGACTAATTTTCATTTCATTATTTATAGAAATTGAAGCTAACTTGGGGAAGGCTGATAGTGATGCACATGATTCATGTTCTTAGAAGTACAGATGAATTTTGTCCAATGAAGGTATATCAGTTTTTATTCTATGGAAGAGGCTAGTTTTACAAATCTATCAGCAAAATCAATCCTGATTGCCTATATACATGGTTTTCCTTTGGATTCTCTGTTTTGAACTAACACCTGCCTTATACTGGTTTTTTCATTACATAATGTATAAAATAAAAATCTTCAATATATCTTCATTTTATATTTATAAAATTTTATTACTCTTTAGCACTCTGTTCTCCAGAATTGGGGGTGGCATTTAGTGAGGGGAGAATCCTGACCATTTATCCAGAAGAGACTAAGTTGACAGAGCCACTTGAAAGGGCAAGGTGTTTACTCATTCCAAAATATAAGAGTTTCTACATTAATTTCAGTATGGAGTTATAAAACATTATATAGCTGTAAAATAGCCAGATTTTGGGACTGCTATAGTTCTTTTTTTCAAATCTTACATTAATTAAAAATTACTTCACTTATATAACCAAAAAAAATAGGAAGAACAAATGTGCCAGTCTTGGAGAAACAGAATGGAAAATTAAACACTATTGGATCTCTGTCTCTTTCTCCTTTCCCTCTCCTCCCACCCTTTCCCCTCTCCTCATCACTATATTTATCTCAGGTCCTTATCTCTTCACCTGTTCACATGTCAATTTCATTCTCCTAGAAGGACTTTTCCCCCAGACTGTGGATCTGCTGCTAACATCTGAACTTCTTATTACTCATACCCCTGTTGAAAACATGAAGAGCACCATTGGTGTAAACCTCTTTTCAAAAATGCTGGGCAAGATAAGGAGTACTCTAACTTGGGAAGGAGTGTGGAATTTTTTTATATCTTTTAGCAGGCAAGGTCAGCTGAAATTCATCTAGTTTCAAGAGTATTTGTTCAAAGATGGTTCTCAAAAAAGAGAGGAATTATTCCTATCAACTAGCAGTCACTGTTTAGACAATTTGGATTTTACCAAGATGAGTGGAAGGAACAAGGAGGAGTTATTTAAATCTTATGCAAGTCCAGGTGCAAGTAGAGGTGAAAAGGAACAGCTACAATGGACAAGGACTTGTGTCTGACCACCATGGAAAATTCTTGGTTCTTAGTGTCTCTTGCACCTTACAGTCTTCCCCCACATTCACTTGGCCAAATGCTAGAGAAGGGTTTGATTGATCTAATTTGAAATGTACCCCCATTCCTGAACTGCTCACTGGTCAAAGAGGCAGAGACAAGAAGAGGCTGATCCCAGTGAGATGAAAAGGCTAGTGCATCAGGAGGAGCAGCCTTCTAACCAGAGGGAGGAGCCCAGACCAGCAGGACATCGTGGAACAGGATGGCCCTCCTCCCTGCTGCTTCCTCTT